GACAAATAACCGTCTGTTCAATTTATCTCCCTCCGAGTATTGTTTTCACTTGTGAGCAACTCAATAATCTCGTCTCCCAGCTCCCAACACCATTCATAATCCTCGGTGATTTTAATGGTCATAATAGCCTGTGGGGCTCTCCCAACACAGACGAGAGAGGAAGACGTATTGAGGAATTTATAGATAAAAACAATTTGTGCCTTTTTAACAACAAGACCCCTACTTATTTAAGTACAGAAAATACAATTCATATATATTGCATATTGTGATACTATGCGTAATACCGAGTGATACAGGTCGAGGCGAAATATCTTATTAATTTTTTTGAATACATTAGGAACACTAGCTGCATTCCAATTAAGGGAACAAATTTTAAAATTGAAAATTATGTTGTCTTTAGGAATATTTTTAAACACATTTATTGTCGGCAATGTTCTCAAATCTTGCTGATTTTCATGTGTGTTGACTTACAATTGGAAGTGTCATAAAGAATCTGTCTGGACAATCCATAAAGGTTAGCAGGTCCTCGCATGCTTCCAGATCATAACCATGTCACTTATAAACCCCATCAAACCAGTGGTTTGAGTGGTTGTGTTGTTCATGAAAATACTGTTCTAGTTTCCCATGAATGTATTACAGTAAAGTGCACACATATTGTTTCCCTACTAACAAAATAAATTTAAACTGTATATAATATCTGTTAAATAAGAACAATATTTTGAAGAGGATGAAATCTAGAAAGTTTGGTAGCGATGGCAGAATTTGTTTCGATTTCCATCGTCTTGAGAATTGTTGGGTGGAGCCAATAATCCTGTTTTGTTGACTTCCAACATTGGTATGTTTGTTTTTGGAGAGTGTCCCTTTGTCATCATTATATCAGTCTGGATAGACCAGACCACCAAGAAATGCAAGGGGTCTTCTCGGGGTTTAAGCAATACAAATCTCCCTTGTGTGCACAACCAACAGGCAGTTAGAGAGAATATGTCTACATTGCAGCTCATCACCAGTACCTTGCTTGTTTCATTATACATAATTCTCCAATGATGAAATTCACTGTATCTGTATTTCTTAATCCACATGTTGAACAATAAATGCAATGAAGTTTTCTTCAAGAGTCTTAAGAGATATTTAACTTGTTCGATGTGATGTTGGATTGAAATCTGTCCAGAAATGAAGTCGCTACTATAGAGATGACAGAATTTTCTATAAATAGAGAAAGTTTTTTTATAAATAGTTAAACCCTGAACAACTTGTTCAAAATACAATATATACCTGGCTATTGTATATGATGCTTGATTAAAATCCGTCCAGAAATGAAGTTGCAACTGTTGGTAAGAAAGAAAAAAAATCTTTAAATAGTATTGCTCATCTTGACCTTGGCTAACTTAAACAAATGTGAGGTAATCTTATACTAAACCACTGTATCTAGATTGAACAAAATCCACTATAAAGAAGTGAAATCGCCCGAGTTATGATTTGCACATAACCTTCCCATCAAAAGCTGAATGTTACATCATTATTTCATTGTTTATGTGATTTCGTAGTCCTGTTTCTAACCAAATGCTATGCGTCATTCCCAAGGAAGTTGAAGAGGAATCCTGAACAGGAGACACTACAGTGAATGGGTGGATAATGTTTTTTTTCTTCATAGTCAATTACAGTATTTTTTAAAACTGGGTGGAACATATGTATAAGACTTTAACATGTCATCTAAAAGTTTCTTTTTCCTTTTGTTGTAGTCAATAATAAATCTTTCAAATGTCGACAGTTTCATCTCTCTCGACTTTTTAGGCCTAATGGTCCATGGCTCTCCCTTCAATTTCCTCTTGCGCTGGAATGAACTCGGAGGCAAGGCTGTTGTTTTTGATGCTTGGCACTTTAAATACCAAGGTAGTTTATTCGGTGTATGCTGACTCACTGTTTCCGTAGCATTCCTTGTCCAAGGATTTTTAAAATCCTCTTCAGTACAACATGGTGATGGAATGTCCATTTTATCACCTTGATGTGTTTCAGTGGAACCTTTTTGAAAAATTGCAGCTCTGTCAAAATCACTTTTGAAATGTTCAAAGTAATTGTTTTTGTCCAAGACTTTGTTGTAGTTTTGATTCAATCTGAATTTTTCTTTTTCATTTCCAATGCCATGCTGTGCTTTGTGTAAACAGTTTGTGATGCACTGGAAGTTTCTGTTTTTTTCTTGTATGTGTATATCCTGGTTTGAATACGTAGACACTTGATTGTTGAAATTGTTGAACTGTGGTGAGGGTATCGGAAGCCTTTTTATGCCTGTTTCACAACTGTATGGCCTTGTCATGCTCTGTATTTCCCCGAACCCAGTAGAATTTAAAGATACACACTGGACATCAAATTTACCTTGTGGTAATTCAACACTGGGTTGGTTACTCATTCTCATGTTATTGTGTCTTTCAAATCTTCTCCACTCTGTCCCAGGCAAAGACTCAGACTCGGACATCTCGATTACTTCTGTAGTTACTGAACATCTTGATTTTAAATTGACTTCACAAATGTTTGTGATATCTTCCCCTTCAGCAGCAGTGTTAGGAATCTTCCTGTTCTTCTTAAATCCAATTTTATTTTCAAACATGACATTTCCTTTCACAGAATCTATGATCACATGATCAGATTTACTGTTTTTCCTTAAATCTAATGGTTCGTCCCCAGTTATGCAAAAATCCTTAGCAGCAATGTCTTCTGCAATATGACTGGGAACTGTTTCGGAGTCAGAAAATTCTGATGGTGAAAGCATGTATTGATACACAGGAGAATCACTTATGTCATTCTCATTTTCAGAGATGGGAAAGAGATCGTCCATATCAAATTCCTCCATGTTTAGGTTGTGACATTCTTCAGACTTGTGATTATTATATACGCCTGGGAACTGTTTACTGAGAAACGTCTGGGGCTGTCTGATTTACAAACCGATACACTAACTACAAGGAACTGCCTGCAGGGTGGTAATTTGTCACTCAGTAAGTCTCGCTTCAAAGTTATGACATGCAGTATATCATTATACACCAAATATTTTTCTACACGCCGAGAAAGAATTCAACAGACTCTTTGAAAAATATTTCAACAAATTATACCTTACATAAGTTCCATACTTGCCAACTCTACCTATTTAGGAGGGATACTCCTGATTTTGGAGCCTAAAATTGAGCATTTTCAACCAGTGAATTTGCTGAACTATTCCTATTTTCTAAGATCTGACGATTTCACCTGAAAGAACAGCTCAAACAGTGTTATTTTCCCCTAAGGTGAACATACACACATTATATTTGTGCATATTTCTGAGCACACATAATCTCCCCATGGAAATTTCAAAAAGCTGGCAAGTATGCATAACTGAAGACTTAAAAGTACTTTGTATTGGATTCTAAACAAATTTCCTTAACTGAATACTTTACCTCATCTCTTATATTGCTTTCCTATGGAATAACCTAAGTTAGGTTGTGAAACTGGAGTCAACAGAAGGAAAGGTTTTGGGATGTGAACTAGAACACTGACAGGTCAGTAAGGGCCCTGTCTTGTGGCAATATATCCCCAATAATCATCAAGAAGCGATCTGCCCATATAGCTGAGCTTGAAGTTCGACATTTGGACTTCAAAAAGAATCGCAAGGAAGCAAAATATACATTTTACAAGTACTATGATGTGAGTCTAGTTTCCTTCCACCTCCATATTTGCTGGGCTAACAGAAATGTAAATACCAGTGCAACACTCATTTGTTAGCTTTGATTTGTTTTATTTCACCTTATAAACCTCCTCCATCAAGAGCCAGGGTCAAAGTCAGAGATCCACTTTGTCTTTGACCTTTGGACCAAAATGACCTTGACCATTAACCCAGTGACCCTGATCTTTGGTCAGTTTACTTATTCTTTAATTCAGACCAACTCTACTTCTTAATATCATAACAAAATGTTTATCAGTGAAAAATACAAAACTTGACCTGGACCCTTTGGACCCCGTGACCTGGACCTAAGGTCATTTGACTCTGTGTTAAGTTCTCAACAACATTGCTTAATAATGTCATAACAAAATGTTCATCAGGGAAAAGGTACAAAATTTAACCTTGACCTTTGACCCAGTGACCTTGACCTTTGGTCAGTTGACTTATTCTTTAATTCAGACCAACTTTACTTCTTAATATCATAACAAAATGTTTATCAGTGAAAAATACAAAACTTGACCTGGACCCTTTGGACCCCGTGACCTGGACCTAAGGTCATTTGACTCTGTGTTAAGTTCTCAACAACATTGCTTAATAATGTCATAACAAAATGTTCATCAGGGAAAAGGTACAAAATTTAACCTTGACCTTTGACCCAGTGACCTTGACCTTTGGTCAATTGACTACTTTTTTAATTCTGAGCAACATTGCTTCAAAGTGTCATAGCGAAATGTTCACCAGTGAAAAGATACAAAATTTAACCTTGACCTTTGACCCAATGACCTTGACCTTTGGTAAGTCGACTCCTTGTTTAATTCTGATCAACTTTGCTTCATCATGTCATATCAAAATGGTCATCAGTGAAAAGATGCAAAATTTAACCTTGACCTTTGAATCTAATGACCTTGACTTTTTTTTTTACCTCAGTGTGTCTCTTTGTTTAATTTCGAACAACTTTGCTTCATAATGTCATAGCCATATGTTCACCAGTGAAAAGCTATAAAATTTGACCTTGACCCCTGACCTGATGACCTTGACATTAGGTCAGTTGACTCCTTGTTTAATTCTGAAATGTAAAATTTGACCTTGACCTTTGAACCTAATGACCTTGACCTTGACTTTTTACCTCAATGTGTATTTTTGTGAACTGAACATCTGGACTTAGTTTCATGAACATCGGTCAATAAATACCAAAGTTATCAGCCAGGAACAAAATTTGTGGACGGACAGACAGACAGACAGACAGATTATACGGGGCCCTAATAACATTTATACTAAAAAGACAACTTACAACAGAATTTCCCTGGGGTCTGTCCCAATTGACAAATTAATAAGTGCATTATTAGGTACGGACATATAAGAACTCAAGTTATCATGATAAAGAATGACACAAAAAGCTTGAAAATGTAACCTTCTGAACATTTTAATAATCATTCAATTTGTTGCATAAAATCAATTATAACAGTACAAGTATTGCAATTCTTGAATCACATAATAATTTACTTCCACAATTTGTTACCTCCGTTTCTTAGTTTTCACTTTTTCTAAAGTGCCTGATATTTTTCTTTTCCCCTTTCTTTCACTTTTCTTTTCACTCAATGTCATTTCTGATCTCTTTGTGATTTTTGCAGTCTTCTTTGGTTGTCTTTTACCTTTCCCAGCTGTCTCCAGGGGGCGTTTCTTTTCCTTCTGAAAACAAATTGAAATGGAAGATCCTTTAAATTATGATCATAGTCTTCAGTTATATTGCACAGAGTATCACTATGTATGCCGATGAATTTCTGATTATGATCTCGGATACCTGAAACACCCTGTTGTAGTAAAACCTGTCTTATCTGACACCCTGTTAGACCTGACATACTGGTCAGATTAAACAGGATGTCAGGATACACTGGTATTATGTGGTAGTTTTCATAAGATGTGTGATTACAAAACTTATATTGGATTATAGAAGTTATTTGAATATTAAGGGGTTGGATCTTGGTTGCCGTGATTTTGATTAACGTTTGACTGTATGCACTGTTAAGATAATGTAGATGAAAATAAACAAACCACAATACTAACAAATTACCAAGAAACATGTCATGTGTCTAACATCATAACAAGGTTTAAAGTAGCTCTGCTGACAATAAAAAAAGGAACAGGTAAATAGTTTACATGTCATGTGTCTAATATAATAACAAGGTCTAAAGAAGCTCTGCTGACAATAGAACAAGGAACAGGTAAACAGTTTACATGTCATGTGTCTAATATAATAACAAGGTCTAAAGAAGCTCTGCTGCCAATAGAACAAGGAACAGGTAAACAGTTTGCATGTCATGTGTCTAACATCATAACAAGGTTTAAAGTAGCTCTGCTGACAATAAAAAAAGGAACAGGTAAATAGTATACATGTCATGTGTCTAATATAATAACAAGGTCTGAAGAAGCTCTGCTGACAATAGAACAAGGAACAGGTAAACAGTTTGCATGTCATGTGTCTAACATCATAACAAGGTCTAAAGAAGTTCTGCTGACAATAGAACAAGGTACAGGTAAACAGTTTACATGTCATGTGGCTAACATCATAACAAGGTCTAAAGAAGTTCTGCTGACAATAGAACAAGAAACAGGTAAACAGTTTACATGTCATGTGTCTAACAACATACCAAGGTCTAAAGAAGCTCTGCTGACAATAGAAAAAGGAACAGGTAAACAGTTTACATGTGATGTGTCTAACAACATAACAAGGTGTAAAGAAGCTCTGCTGACAATAGAACAAGGAACTGGTAAATAGTTTACATGTCATGTGTCTTACATCATAACAAGGTCTAAAGAAGCTCTGCTGACAATAGAAAAAGGAACAGGTAAACAGTTTACATGTGATGTGTCTAACAACATAACAAGGTCTAAAGAAGCTCTGCTGACAATAGAACAAGGAACAGGTAAACAGTTTACATGCCATGTGTCTAACATCATAACAAGGTCTAAAGAGGCTCTGCTGACAATAGAACAAGGCACAGGTAAACAGTTTACATGTCATGTGTCTAACAACATAACAAGGTCTGAAGAAGCTCTGCTGACAATAGAACAAGGAACAGGTAAACAGTTTACAGGTCATGTGTCTTACGTCATAACAAGGTCTAAAGAAGCTCTGCTGACAATAGAACAAGGAACAGGTTAACAGTTTACAGTGAAACTGACACCTGATTTTTAGGACATTCTGTACATGTTATAGAAGACATTTTGAAGGCCCATTAAGCCTCAGATTTATACTGACATATCAGCATTCCATCTAGATGTCAGTAAAGTCAGGTTTACCGACACACCTAGATGTCAGTAAAGTCAGGTTTACCGACACACTGTCATATCAGATTAATCTATCTTGATTTGGCAAAGTCAGGATAGTTGACAGTTTCATATCAGGCCAGCTGATTCATTCCCCCTTGATGTTATTAAAGTCAGATCTCACTGTACATAGAAATGTGTGACCTAACTGTATATGTTTCCCGAATACTGTAGAGTACTCATTTTACAGACACAAATTTGAACAGATTAAATGCAATGATTAATTGGCATGCCTAGACTATATGCGAAACTACCAGTATTTACAAAAATTCCAATAAAAACCGAAATCATACACCATAATGTTTAAAGCACAAAAGTGCTTTATATTAAATTTAGAATACTGGTGAAATTCGTACATTTACAGTATTTAAGTTAATAGACAGATTACAATATGATAACCTACCAGTGTATCATATAGTACATATGACATTTACAAACTAATGGATAATATATCAGGAAATTTTAAATATGTTTTTCTTGGTTCTTTAAAGACAACTTTCTTTCCTATTAGTCGGGGATTGTTTAACTTTGAATCAAAATTTTCATCACAATTTTCAATTTACTCTTCAGTTCTTTTAATAGTACAATATAGATGAATTTTCAAGTTATTTCAATACATTGCAGCTGATGTATATATGGCATATGTCACACTTTTGACAATGTGAGTAGTGACAATACTTTACGGAGGTACTTTACCACTTGTTGTCATTCCATAACTATGATAAACACTGGTGAAGGGATCAAACATACCTTGCTCACTTTTACAGGTTCTTCTGTAAGTTTCTTTTTTAATTGTGGAGTTTTTCGTTTCACTGTTGTGAAATCTTCATTGTCATCACTACCACTGGAATTGTCATTGTTATTTTCATCATCTTTATCATCACTATCACCATCATCACTATCATCCTCACTGTCTACATCATCCATGTAACTATCGTCATTGTCTACACCAGAATCACTGTTGTCCATATCAGAAGAACTGTTTTCTTTCATGGCTCCAGATAATGGCAGGGTGCTTGCTCTAATCTCTTCAAACTCCATAGAGCTGGATTTGCTGAAAACAGAAAGAAAAGTGGTAATATTGTCACATACTTTCTCTTTACTGTAGAATAGTCTGTTGATGACAGATACCCTGCCAGACCTGCAGTGATGAGATTCCATGTCGATATGAACCTTCTGTTATGAAAGATATTCTGTCAACATTAACATCATCAACTGTATTTATGATATAGACTGTTTACATTTCCCCAAATTTAAGAGATACCATGTTTACGTTAACCTGTATTTGAGACGTTTACGTTAACCTGTATTTGAGACGTTTATGTTAACCTGTAGTCATGAGACACCTTGCCTTTATGAACCAGTATTTAAGAGCTACCCTGACTACTTGAATCAGTAGCTACAGGGCCCCTTACCTTGGTTTTTCTTCATCAGCAACGGTCCTCATACACTGCCAGGTATACTCCAGGAAGCGGGACTGTTGTAACAGACGATTCATCCTCTGGAAGTGCCGCTCTAAAATGATCAAAATACTTGAAATTATATAACTGCCATAATTTTGATCATGATCATAACAATCAGAGAGAAAACTATCAATATCATTCAGAGAATTTGAAAATGCACTCTTTCAATTAACACTAAAATTCTAAATCAGGAGTACTTTAATTAGCAAATCTTTGATTGGATCAGTTAACAACCCCATAGTGTCTATGGAGTTACCTGTGTTAATAATCAGATAAACCCTTTATAACCCTATGGAGTTACCCGTGTTTATAATCAGATAAACCCTTTATAACCCTATGGAGTTACCTGTGTTTATAATCAGATAAACCCTTTATAACCCTATGGAGTTACCTGTGTTTATAATCAGATAAACCCTTTATAACCCTATGGAGTTACCTGTGTTTATAATCAGATAAACCCTTTATAACCCTATGGAGTTACCTGTGTTTATAATCAGATAAACCCTTTATAACCCTATGGAGTTACCTGTGTTTATAATCAGATAAACCCTTTATAACCCTATGGAGTTACCTGTGTTTATAATCAGATAAACCCTTTATAACCCTATGGAGTTACCTGTGTTTATAATCAGATAAACCCTTTATAACCCTATGGAGTTACCTGTGTTTATAATCAGATAAACCCTTTATAACCCTATGGAGTTACCTGTGTTTATAATCAGATAAACCCTTCATAACCCTATGGAGTTACCTGAGTTTATAATCAGATAAACCCTTTATAACCCTATGGAGTTACCTGTGTTTATAATCAGATAAACCCTTTATAACCCTATGGAGTTACCTGTGTTTATAATCAGATAAACCCTTTATAACCCTATGGAGTTACCTGTGTTTATAATCAGATAAACCCTTTATAACCCTATGGAGTTACCTGTGTTTATAATCAGATAAACCCTTTATAACCCTATGGAGTTACCTGTGTTTATAATCAGATAAACCCTTTATAACCCTATGGAGTTACCTGTGTTTATAATCAGATAAACCCTTTATAACCCTATGGAGTTACCTGTGTTTATAATCAGATAAACCCTTTATAACCCTATGGAGTTACCTGTGTTTATAATCAGATAAAAGAAGGAGAGAATTAATCAACAATAAGATTCAAGATAACATTATCATTATGATATTACCCCAGATCTAAAACATCATACATGTATATATAAAGCACCTTGATGCACAGGACAATGTGAAGTACCATCAACAGATGCTAAGGTTACCTGTGTAGGGGAGAAGACCCTCCAGTGTTGATGTGATGTTGGGGAACTCGGCAAGCTCCTCCTGAGGGTAGAGCTCCAACACAGAGGATACCACCAGCTGGGCCTCATGGCAGTGGCGACTGTTGGTATTCCACTGGGAAGCAAACCTCAACACTGTATCTGTAAAATCAACACGGTGTAAATCACCCTCTTATGAGGAGCCTCAGTACTTCATCCGAAAGTTGATGTTAGATGACAAAGTAATCTATATATCCTAATGATGGGAAGCCACAGCACTTTTATCTGTTCTTCCAGCATGGCAAAAGTCCTCTAAACATCCCCTCTGAACATACATGTTCATGTAAGTAATGAATAAGGTATAGCTAATCTAATCCAAGAGGAAATCCCACTGTGAATATCATAAAAACATTTAAGCATTGACCTGCTTTCAGAGGGTGACTGTAGGTGATAGCAATACCAACAGCTTTACAAGACAGTTGATCCATGAGCTTTAGGGTCACCTGAGTTAAACTACAAATGATACAAATAATATTGAGTTAAACAAGGTTATGTATGATCAGTACATATCATCTCCAGTTCGNGTCATGTACAAAATAGAACCTGTTTAGTCCAGTTTCAGTGAGTAAGAACAAGGCTATGAATGTTTCTGTACCTATCTGGTCCATCCTCAGCTTTTCAAGAGTTGCCTTTAGATCTTCTTCTCCTTTGTTTTCCGAGAGAATTTCTACAACACAATGATACATGTACAAGAAGGTCCTTAGAGTATGGATGTAGTGGTATGTACCTGTATGATGGTTAATATCCACAAATGTACATAATCATGGTCACAATTATCAGTCAATTTCTGACCTGTATCACTGATAAATATTGTAAAAGTCCATGACAGATTTCATTGCTATCATGTGTATTTTATTGTCATCCAAATAAAATAAAAATCAATTGAAATTAAAACACTGTATGCATTGTGTGTATATACATGGCAATGGTGATCTGTTAACCTTTTAGAATGTTTAAAACCACTGGATTTCTGGTTACAAGACATTAAAATATTAACAAGAAACAGCATGCTATTGCTGTTCTCTTGGAGAATACAGGAGTCAGAGAAACAAGGGCATTAGGAACAAGAATCAGGTTTTACATACCTTTCATTATTTTTAGGACTCGGAAGGGCTGTTCCAGTCTGATAGCTAGCACAATGGCTTTAAGGAACTTTTTCTGTTGGATCAGGTTGGAAAGAGTTTGCTCCCTGGAAAAGGAAATTGAAACAAATCATAAAACAAACCAAACTATTTCATTAATAAGTCCTAGACAGACTTAGCTGTATTGCAAGCTACATGTATAACAATTCGGCATCTGCATCCTGTATGCTGGAGGGTTATACAAGTGTTGACTTGTGTGCTTCCCTATATATACATGCCATATCAAATGGGAAATATCGTACGGGCTAGGTACCTATCCCGTACCTATCCCGCCAGTCACACGACGGCCGCACAAACATCTTCCAGCTTTCGTCAGATTGCCATGCGTTATCCTTGCAATAGTCTTACAGGCTCCCTACAGTATCCTTTAGATGTCCATGTGATTTAATCTGGCAAATTGTTTGAGGGGGCCGTGTGGTGCCCGTATCTAATGTGACCATACTCACAGCAAATTCCAGACACCGGTAAAAAGTCCCCGGTGTCAGGGACGCCGGTCGATTCCTACTTACCAGCCGGCGCAAATGTGACTGCAACATTAGATATGAAAATTGCCATATGATAACCTTTAACTACTACCCTCGGTAAACTTCCTCAACACCTTCTGTACACTAAATACCTACTGTAGTATGAACTCCTCCTGCTTTGCACGCTCCCCGTCCTTCTCTTCCTGTGTGACATCCTGTGGAGAAATATCATCAGTCAAATACAACAATCTGCATTATACAAGGCAATCCCTTATTTTCAAGTCACTTTCTCACTAGCTTACACTGTTACTATCACAAGATCAAACTTAACTTTAGTTCTTATGGAATTTACCTTCATTACATTGTAATAACAAAATGCTGTCTATATATATCTTTCGACTAACCACTTCTTTCCCATTGTTGACCTCTACTTTAATGACTCCTGCCTTTTCCTTGTTTAGCTAATTTCTGATCTCTACTTTCCTACTGCTGTCACCTCTTCTTTCCCATTATTGACCACTACAGTATTTTTCCCATTGTTGACCTCTACTTTACACTTGTTGACCTCTACTTTCCCATTGCTAACTTCTCCTTTCCTATTGTTAACCTCTAATTATCCATTGCTGACCTCTACTTTACACTTGTTGACCTCTTCTTTCCCATTGCTGATCTCTACTTTCCCATTATTGACCTCTCCTTTCCTATTATTGACCTCTCCTTTCCTATTGTTGACCTCTATTTTCCCATTGCTGATCTCTACTTTATACTTGTTGACCTCTTCTTTCCCATTGCTGACCTACCTTCCACACGATGACTGTAGAGTCCGCCCCTCCTGTGATGACTTCGTTTTCCTGTCTGTTACTACACAGCGCCCAGATCTTGTCCTCGTGTTCGTCAAACGTCTTCACACACTCGTTACTTTTGATTGTCCAGAGTTTTAGGAGGCCATCAGATCCACTGTTAACAGAGACATCAACAGTATAGTCTCATCACAAAATTCAAAAAAAGAAACACACTTATAACTCCAAAGCAATCAAAGATAAGTACATTCTTAATTTCAAATACCTTCATTATGAAGATTTATTAATTTTGGGACAACAACCAACAGTATTCAACATCTGTTTTATTGCAAATTAAATACCATACATTAAAGAAATCATTCAAAAGCAAGCAATCTGTAAAAATATTTAAAGTATGATATTTCTATTTGAAAAGCTAAGTATTTTTATTCTTTCTGCCAAAGGGACATATAAGCACATCAATCTTGATTAAACACTATTTCTCAAGCACTTACCAAGACATTAACTGCATCCCTCTGTTCAGAAATATCACTCTCAAGACGGAACTGTCATGTCCTTCAAATGTCTGCAATGTCAAACAACATCATATTGGTTTTAAAGATATAATTATGATAAGACAAGAATTCCACGGAAGTGGATGTGTTGCCTACGCAGGAAGCTGGGATATTGTGCTTAGCACTGCAGGAAGTTTGAGTTTGATCAGCCCAAGGAAACTCAAGTTATCGCACGAAAACAGATTTTCTATTTATAGTAACGGTGACCTTGACCTTTGACCTTCGGACCTGAAAAGCAATCGGAAGCAAGCAATTTTGGTAAGGAAGCACTGCATGAAGTTTGAGTTTGATCGGCCCAAGGAAGCTCATGTTATCACACGAAAACAGATTTTCTATTTATAGTTACGGTGACCTTGACCTTTGGCCTTCGGACCTGAAAAGCAATCCCAATCAAGCACTTTTGGTAAGGAAGCACTGCAGGAAGTTTGAGTTTGCTCAGCCCAAGGAAACTCAAGTTATCGCACGAAGACAGATTTTCTATTTATAGTAACAGTGACCTTGACCTTTGACCTTCAGACCTGAAAAGCAATCCCAAGCAAGCACTGCATTAAGTTTGAGTTTGATCGGCTCAAGGAAATCAAGTTATCACACAAAAACCTCTGTGCGGACGCCGACGACGCCGACATAGCAATACCTATGTGTCACCAGCTTTTCGCAGGCGACACAAAAATGACTTTGAAAGCCTTAGATACATTTTTGTATAATGATACCTACTCCGATATGTTTCCAGAAATCATTGTATTTCTATATTTAAAATACAAAATGTATCAGAAACACATAATGATCAGTCAATAATCGTTAACTGCTGTATCAACAGCATCCATTACCTGTTAAATCTACTTCCAACTAGTTGTCTTTAGAACATGTGAACTCACTTTCACAAATGATAAGTCTACAGCCTGGTTTACGTACATTTTTAAAAACATTTTAAAGAAAATATGGACTTACCTTCACGCATAAGAAGTCAGACAAGGACCAGATCTTGATAGTGCCATCAGCTGATGATGTAGCCAAGCACTGCAACAATGGAACAGAATATTTATATTTGATAAAACATTGAATGCATGAAAATAAATAAGCATTTTCTAAATGCTTTTCATAAAAATGACTTCAAGAATGAAATGAAATCTACAAATTGATTACCATAATATTAATGAAATACACTTTTATTTTATTTTACACAATTGTCCATAACAATCTAGATGTGATTAGAAGTTATCCCTTACCTGATCGACAGGTGAGAACTGTAGACACCAAATCCCTCGTTTGTGTCCCCTCATAACACCTAGGAGAGACAGATCACTTGTGTTCCAAACCTGGGAATATAAGATACAGATTAAGTCACAAAACTCAAAACTACTAGTAAAAGATAATGCAGTTAGATGTTTTACTTTCTCAGCATCAAGTAATATCTTGACAACTAGAACAAATAAATTCATACCTTGATAGTTTTATCCTGAGAGCCGGACGCTATGAATTTGTCGTTGGGTGTCATGGCGACAGAGTTGATGTCCTTATCATGTGCTTTCTCTGTTATCCTGGAGTGTAGACTGACCACTGTAGCAGTGTCCAGTTTGTCCGGAATGTCCCACACCTTCAACGTGCTGTCCTGTCCACCACTCACAATCGTTCTGGCATTTAACCTTAAATGGTAAACAATACATGTACAACATTAACATTCTGTCCTAAGAGTTGATATACATTGCTGCATTCAATTGTGCAACCCTGTTTAGTTGAAATCACCATATTACTATATGTCATGTGAACCCTTGCTTTAACAACGATTTTGACAGTATAGATATCATACAACATTGAAGGGTGGGAGGCTATCATAATAGGAAAATATAACCATTTTAAAGGGCAATATGACAACTTCAAGCATATCATGAGACATTTTGTGACAAAATATGTAACACTTATTTCTACGAATTTTTATGGTAAACCTCCAGTTCAAATAGGAAGATAGTTTGAATACTTGCCTGATTCATAGAAACTGATGTTAACAGTACCTAGTTTTTATATGAGACATAGGCAGATAGGAAAAGAGGATTTTTTTACAATGAGGTATAAAATGTAACAAGTTACCATGAGAAAGCCATTGTGTTGACAGCGTGAGTATGACCTTGACCTACAGCGACACATTTCACTTGACCCGTGTCTGTATCCAGCTTCCACAGTCGTATACTGTTGTCCTATAACCAAAGAACAAACACTTACATTCAGAACATCAAAAGAAGAGAGAATTTACATCAGTAATAATTTGTAGGTATTTTTTTGTGTTGGCTCTGCATTCTCGCAACAGTTTAAGTCATATGAAGACAGATAATGGATTTTTTTGGATGAAATGTCATAACCTTGACATACCCCTTGCCCCCCTCCTCTCTTTTCATTCTTATAAAAGCCCTTATGAAACAGCAGTTTTTCACACTTCCAGCTTTACCTGACAACTTAATTCTTACAGTAACAAGAGGCCCAAGGGCCTTAGCGGTCACCTGAGTTATATCATAGGTACTGGTAGCTTTATTTTATTGTTTAGATGTGAGGTGGAAATCAGCATGTAAACTAAGTGAAATACAATACTTGTCATGTCATCAAAGGATAAGAATTTTAAAATATTTGTAAATGTTTCCTTTGGGGCCCCGCTCTAACCCCTGGGGATGGGGCAGGAATTCCAAGTTTACAATTTGATACCGTCATCCACCAAAGATGATTCTGACCAAGTAAAAATAATTTCCAACATAAAGTTGTCAAAATATACCCAAAAATGTTGTTTCCCTATATAAACTATAGTAAACTTTACCCCCTCCCCAAGGGAGAACGGATAGCTCGGGGGTCCTGAAATTTACAATTTAAATAAAGCCCCTGATGATCTTTCCATCCATGCAGAGAAAATGACTGTAATACCTCTGAGTCTGGAAAAGAAGATTTTTGAAATATTGGTGAATTTACCCTTTTGGGCCCCGCCCTGGCCCCTAGGGTTGGGGTAGGAATCCCAATTTTACAATTTGATAGCCTCATCTACCAAGGATGATTCTGACCAAGTTTGAAAAAATTCCATCCACTGGTTCTTGAGAAGAAGTTGATAATGTAAATGTTTGGAATAGGTCACTTCAGCAAAGCTCAGGTGACCTAATAATACATAGGTAAGTGCATAAATACCCTTTACCAGGAAATTGTCACTGCAGTTTAATGTTCGCCTTTTTTGCACTCCATAATGAGGGCAACCACTAATACAGGGAACATTTGTAAACAACATAATAGATGTAGTAATCAAGTGTTAAAGCGATGTTGATATTGGGCGATAATGGATTTTACCGTGGTGAAAATTGGGCTAGGCGAAAATGTCCCAGTTTACAGTGGTACTGAATAGCAGAAAAGCAGTACAATAAAATGCATTCTCATAGTGTGCTGACCTTAGAGGACGAAGCAATGAGGCGTTCCTTGTGGTGGACACACACACTGAGCACAATGTCGGAGTGGCCCTGGAGAATTTGACAGTTCCATGTTTCCATTTCAAACACCTTGAGGTGCTGGCTGTTTGTGGCCATCACCAGATGGCTGTCATCCTCCCCCATCAACTGTAGGTCCAGAACCTCGTCTGTGTAACCACAAAACTGGATAGAAAACGAAATTATCATGTAATGGATGTACTGGAGAGCTATGGCCTGCCAATTAGATGTAGACGACAGTTGAGTTAGGAATCCAAACAAAGAAAATCCCCATTGAAATAATTCAATTGATATCATAATAATAATTTACAATGTATCATATTCTGATGATGTAATCTAGAGTATGCAGTATCATTTTTTTGTGAGCAAAAAAGAATCTTCAGGAGAAAAGGATCTAATAATATTTTCCATGAATCATCACTGTCCTGGCTTCAGATTCATGAAACAGCCTTCCTTTAAAATTTCAAATGTCAATGAGAGAATGAAAACAGGTCTATAAATGGTGAACCGTCCATGTCTATAATATTGTTAAAATATCATACACTTATAAATGCAAACATTTCTGTACTGAGATTAATATAACAGACATATATTGCAGTATATATTGATAACCCTTGACTGAGTGATACCTGTTTTTGCAGCTTTAGTGTGTCAATGTCCAGCAGAGAAATATTGTGGTCAAAGGTCACTACGGCCACCTGCTGTCTGGCTGGACAGTATGATGCCTGTATAATACTCTGCTCCTGGGATGCATTTAAGTTCCTTATCATCGTCAACTTTGTCTTTTCTACATTCCATAACTTGAGAATACCTTCAGAAAAATTGAAAATAAAACATGTTGGTTTAAAACTTGAATTAGATAAAAAAGAAAAAAAAAGTTTTATATTTATTTATTTATTGATAAATAAAAAGTTTTTACGTTTTCCCATTTCGAGAAAGCAAAATGCTGTGGCTGACTGGTATGTGTGAATCTGAATCTAGTTGACCCTTTCACCCCTATGTAACTTAGTAGACTCTACCATGCTTTGATCTGTATGAATCCATTATGGTCTGTAGTGGTGAAAGAGTTAACATGTTCACTTTAGTAAATTAGCCATATTTAAATTTACTAATACTATAACAACATAATTCAGGAATGTAACATCAGGAGAAGTTACACACTACACCGATGTACCTTTACTGCCTGCAGTAATGATGTGTGGTGTATCGTCATCGATGTTAAGTTCTGGGTAAGACTTGCCAGCAGGCAGCAGAACAATTGACTCCAAACTCTGAAAATGACACAAAAATAAGGATGAAATTGCAACACTTCTTACCAGAAATCAAAATTCAAGTAAGTCATAAGTTCATTTAAAGAAATAATCACTGAAAGAATGAAAATTATCTGAGCGAAGTAACAGGGAGCTTACCTCTAACACAGGGAACGTCTTGACAACCTTCAGCTCATCAACGTCCCATACTGCCACAGTGCTATCTCTTCCAGCACTGAAAAGGAAAATCATATTTGTAATCAATTTTTGCAAGTTTTGCATACTACAATGTACCTATATTACTGTAATTAACCTCTGCCATCCAAGTTATAAGACATTGACACATTTCAAATCTAAAATCCATTTTTTTCTGTGTCAACTCTTCAGAGATGATAATATATTTTCAAATCATCAAAAGTCATTGAAAACAAGGTTGACATTCAGACTCCTGGAAAGAAAATCTCTAGTCAAGCAGCTTCAAAAATATCTTAATCTAATTCTAAACATTTCAAAATTCTTAATTTAGTTTTGAATACTTCTGAAACCTTTATGTGCTTCCCCCTCCCCAAACCCGATCAAAGTTGATTAAGACAAGTGTGCTTGTACTTAAAGCCATACATTCAATGACTACCTGTACAGAAACAGACAGGTAAAAACAGAGATACACAGGCAGGTGAACAAACTAACAGGATTTACCTGTACAAGGTAGACCCATCCTGAGAGAAACACAGACACGTGACCACACTGACGTGGGCTTCTACAGCAGCGATGCATTGACTACTCCTCAGGTCCCATACACGCACTTTGTAATCATCTGCGGCCGAGAAAAGCTGGAGTTTGTCAGCATCGGGATGAAACTCAACAACACTGCAAGTGAAAATTGGTAGATTTTTGACACGCAAATTCGTGAAGCGTTCCATATTCAAAAAAAGAATTTGATAGATTTGACAGACAATGTTCAATCAGTATTATACTGAAATGGGGATACATAGACAAGTAGAATTTATGTAATGGTTTGTTTCTTTCCAAACTACCACTTGGTGACCCAAACATTGTTTTACCTATCAGACTAGTGGCTACCCCATCATCACCCTTGATTACTTTCTCTACTACCCCTTTGTAGCCCTGATGTTGTATAACATACATGAATGCTCTTTGTTTGCCATGAGAATGTGAATTGTACCCAACAACCTCTTGGTGGCCCCTGAGTTTTAGAACATCTGACTACCCTTAGCGGCCCTGAGATTATAAAACACATCTGACTTAATACCTTGGTACACTTGGTTGCCCCCTGAAATCACATATGAGATCTGACTTCACATGTGGCCGCTTAGATTGTACAATGTATTATACTCCTGACTAACCCTTGACCTGAGATTTCTCTGATTTCCCCGATGAGGCTGCTTAGATTGTATTAAATTCCTCACTAACTCTTGGTAGGCCCTGAGATCATAACTCATTGTGATTCCAGATACTGTATAGTATACCTGACAATCCTCTTGTGGCCTCTGACATTGTATATTATACCTGACTACCCTTTGGTGGCCCCTTATGTTATATATTATACCTGAATACCCTTTGGTGGCCCCTTATGTTATATATTAAACCTGAATATCCTTTGGTGGCCCCTAATGTTTTATATTATACCTTAATACACTCTGGTGGCCCCTAATGTTATATATTATACCTTAATACACTCTGGTGGCCCCTTATGTTATATATTGTACCTGACTACCCTTTGGTGGCCCCTAATGTTGTATATTATACCTGAATACCCTTTGGTGGCCCCTAATATTGTATAACATACCTTACTACCCCTTGGTGACCCTTGAGGTTGTGTGTACAGTACTGTTTTTCTATATCCCACATTTTTATTGTGGAATCGGCACTACCTGATGCCAGCAAAGTGGATGACTTGTCGAATGCCATTACCGACACAGGAGATGCGTGGATAGCCTGGAAAATATATACATAAAATAATTTGTTTGCTGGTTCATAAACTTCATGTATACAAATTCAACATATTACTGTACATAAGAAAGTAACCCCAAATGAGGTGAGAGTAGAAGTGCTTACATACCTTCCATGTTCTAACAAGATTGCTTTCTTTCCAATTCCATTGTCTAAATAAAAGATTCTGTGTAGCAAGCACCACATTCTGCAAAACAAAGGAATACATATACGAATGTAAACTGAATTATAACGGAGTGTCGATAAGGTATATGTGTAAACTGTAAGACAAATGTGACCAAGTACATCAGGAATGATCAATTCCAGTAGGTCATCTCTAAAAGATTTTATATCAGGGCTTGTGATTTTTTTCAATATAGAGTGATTTTCAGATTTACACATATGCAGTGACATACACATATGCACTGACACTAACTACACTAACGTCTGCTGAAGTTAAAGTCAATGGGTCCGGTAGACATATAATTGGAAAATAGAGCTTTAGGAAACATACCTTGTCATCCGGTGTCACACAAAATCCACAGATATCTTCATCCTCTTTCTAAAAAGATATAAAAAAAATATCCTGTTTCTAAAACAAGTATGAAGAAAAGCAACATTCTATTTAAAAGTTCATCAACATTTTTCGGGGAATTTATAGTAGACATTAGTTTAAAAGCATGACATTTAATTAATTGGTTTTCTGGCTTACTGGTGTGTTAACTTTGGTCAAAGTATATCCATTTCTTTGATGCTAATTATCTATAATAAATACTAAATTTACTAAATGTTAATATTTTGGGGCAAAGTTTCCTTGATAGTATACATATCATGATAACTTATGTTTTACTACAGTAATTGCTGACAAATGGCATTATGAATTAATGAAATAATCTTTACCTCTCCAACTGAAAATTTTGTCAGTCCTGAAGCAATCTCAATCACTTGTACTTTGTTTCCACAGCCACAGAACATATATTCTCCATCACCAGATATCTAAATAATGAAAGGTTCAATAGGTAATCGATGCTAAAATACTTTAGTAAAAGTGTCTTATTTAATAATCGGTAGATGAAAAGCTGCATAATGAAACATGAATATGTTGTTGTTACGACTGTAACGTCAGTTTAAAATCAAAGCAGATTATAATATAATATAAAAAACAATTTTAGATCAGTTTAATTAATTAGACCAGTGAAAAGGATATGTTTACATTTATAGAGCTTGCAACTTTGATCACAGGCATTTTGATGCAAAATATATGCTTTATATCTCTTAGAAGTCCTACATATGTAAGTGTCTGTTTTCAATCTCAATTGAACAAAGTGTAGTGTTATAACACTGTAATTTTTTTTAACCATTTACTATATTGTTATAAGATATGATTGTAGATATATATTGATGCACCCAATGCCTGCATCCATTACATCTCCTATTAAATCCCATTAACTGTGTTCAGATTATGTTCGGTATTTCTATCAATAGTATACCTGTATTTTCCCTCCGGTGTAAAATGCTTCATATTTTCGCAGCACATCAAAGCTGAAATCATAATATAAAATCAAGTTCAAACTACAGTTCATTAAAGGAATTTATTTGCAACTTTCTGAGGCAAGTTATAGGTTGGTTACATATATAGCATAGCTATATGCTTTTAATTTTTGCTCATTATCAGAGGACTTGTTAGGTAGGGGATGCCCAATCACCTGTCCTGTGATTATATGTGCTGAGGTGCTCTGATATGCTCTGCCTTGTTTATATTTTTGTGTTATATATGTGCTTCATTCTAGCTTTAACTTATTTAACTCATTGATATATATATATTCTCTCTTCTATGGCCAGAGGACCTGGTAGGTATAGATAGGGGATTCCCAATCACATCTCCTTTGAGCTAATTTGTTTTACTGAATTTTACATAAAAGAAATCAGGATCTTGATAGACTCAATTGTATTTCACATATATTTAAATTTTTGATCATTATTAAGAAATTGTAACTAAACATATTTTACTCAGTCACATTCAAATATCTTAATCAAATATAATCTCATAATGTTATGTTTGTAATGAATATAGTTTAAAATGGTCTTATCTTTGTGTGTGATGTTTTAGAGCTTATGTTTCACGCTACATGTGTATATACGACAAAAAATTAAGTTTGTTGTATCTTGTATAGTGCAATGGATAGTGTGTTGGACTATTCAAGTGACTGTTGACGAATGGTGATGGTGTTGTAAATTTGTGAAGGACATTAACCTGATTGGCAGTATTAAAACAACTGGTGTAACTGATTTCATTATCTAATACAGAGAGGAACTTATAAAAGAATCCATTGGCTGCAAGTACTCAAAAATGAAAAATATCCCGATACGACATTTGTGCTTTGACATGTCCTGAAACGACCCGAAAAAAGTCTCAAAACGACTTTCGTCATGTTTCCGAATGGACCTGACACCGTAAAGTTATATCGTATAATGTTGGGTTGTTTCAGCCTCAATCCTGTTTGCCGAAGGTCGCTTTTATGATGAACCCCTGTGAGCCAACATTTACTATAAAACTATCACCACCTAGGGTACATTCGCGTATCCGGTGGAAACGGTTGAACCTGTAACGAAAACAACAGGCACAGATCTGGACCGAGGCTGACCTCAAGAAAATTAGGTACGTGTAGATTGAGGGGTCCAGACGTACCTGACCGAAACTAAAATGCTGACTATTGCCAATTTACGTTATTTCTTTCTTAAACAATGCCAAGTCACATGTTCAGGTCGGGGAAAACCACTAACTTGCGTATAATACGCAAACTCGCCTATTATACACCAATAGGGGTATCTATGGATAGCCAAAATCACATTGTTTGTCAAAGTCGCATTTATTCAGTCGTGAAACATAATACAAATGCAAAAATAAACTTTATTTGCAAGTGGGAAAGTACATAAAACAGATGCAATACTTCAGGTAAAGTTACATCAAGTTTCTAAGTAACCAACGCTTTCAGTAAACATCTTTTAGCAAAATATTATTTACCTTGTCGTAAATTAACGCGATTTTTATTAATATCTTGCAAAGGTTACTGTTAAAGCGATTTGGGTCATTTTTAGTAACAAATCCAAACTCCGACTGGCGTATAATAGGCGAGTTTGCGTATATACGCAAGTTGGTGGTTTTCCCCAACCTGATGTAGTTTTTATGATACGTTATGTAATTTAGAGGACGGATGAAAGAAGGGCATATTAATCTTGATACATTATTTTTTATTCTCCGAAACTGCATTTTTAGCTCTGCTAAATAGAACGGTCCAAGCGCGTTCATTTATCGTGGAAAATTTCTTCGCCACATACGTACCGTTTCAACCGAGATACGCGAATGTAGCCCCGAAGCTCGATAGCAGTTATATGACTTGAAACACTATATATGACGGTTCCATTTATAAAAGATTGGAAGAAAATATTGGTTTGTTATTTAATCTAACTTACTTTGTTTTTAGATTTGCCATTGCAGCAGGAAACTTTATGAGTGTGTGTTCATTCTCTCTGCAGTATTTTCAATCAACACGTGCCGGAAGTAAATGTTGCTTAGGGGAGATAACTGTGGACTCAACAACCTAACTCGGAACTCTTCACCCGAAAGAAAACAACACAGCGCCATGATGCTGTGGAGAACAAATATATTTCTTGTCATGTACATGTTATATATCCAAATGAGGTAATACTTTATGACAATACATTTGTATGATTTCTTACACATAACCGAATGTTTTAATTACCCGAAAAGGACAGACCCAGAAATAGCTAGAGGGACAGACAAATGGCTTACTGTAACCAGATTGTCGTCTCAAAAAAGACCCGAAAAGTTGTGAAATTACATTTACGCTACGCGTCTATTCGCTCTTATTAAAACATTGTTCGCCCTCGGATCCGTTTGATCTTTAAGCTGTTCGTCATTTGTCTGTAAATAGACATTGACTGGCATTTTTGAATGAAAAGTATGTGTTTTATTGTATTTGAAGCCACAATGCAGAGTTTCAGTCAGCAGAAAAAGGTCCGAATTATCCACCATTAACAGGTTGGGCACAACGGCGCATATGGGTAATACTCCTGCATTTTGGTAACAGTTACCCATTTGAGTAACAATTTTATTACTGAAATAGGTAATAGAGTGAAATGAAAACACATACAGTTCTTTCAAACATTTATTCTTTCAACATAATCCAGTAAAAATACAACTGGGTACAATTTAGCACCAAACTATATTGATTCAGTTTTGAATCGGTCTGAAAATCCTAAATTGTATCACCTCAATTGCTTATGGGGTGTTGAAGAGTAGCTATAAATACCACAGAGAAAAAACATGCTCCCTTGTCACATTTGCACTGAATGATCCCATGGGCCACACTGAAACGGTTTGTTATTTTCATAAAAAGTTAGACATCAGAATTGATAACTATCAAATATATCCAGTATAACAAATGTACTTTATTGTGTTATTTATTGGAGTTGGTTGAAAGAATAACACCTTTTTTTTCTTGAAGTGTCTAAAAGAACTATTGTGTGATTTTATTTCAGTTTATTTCCAATTTCAGTAATAAAATTGTTACTAAAATGGGTAAATGTTACCCTAATGCAGGATTATTACCCTATTAATATTTATTATCATTTGCTCCGTTTTGCCCAACCTGATGAACAGTTAGAATAAGAGTCTTTTATTTCTATCCTGGTCGAGATTGACAGGGGTATGTTTCTTATCCAGGACAGACATATTTACATTTTCCCAGCGTGAGATATCTTTTTCTCTATCTTTTCACTAAATTTCCCTCATTAACCTGTTTTGGTATTGCTGTCATCCCCAAGGGTATGTCAGATGGCACATGTGGGAAAAATAGTACAATGACATCGGGGGAGCAATTAATTATGACGTCACATTCACCTTTTGACTGGATGTCAGACTAATGTCATTGGTCCAATGGAGTTGTAACTGAAATAATAGGATGTGAGAAAAAAAGGCAATTTCAGGTCTAAAGGTCAAGGTCACTGCTACTATAAGTAGAAAATAATTTTCCACACAAAATCTTATTATTGACTGTGGGCCTCTGTCAGACTAGAGCTTACTACATGCACTTCATGCTTGGGAATTTGCAATTCAGGTTCAAAGGTCAAATGTCCACATCACTTGTACTATAGAATTGGAAAATTGGTTTTCCCACAATAAACCCTGTATGGAATTCCTGTATTAAATCTATATTCTACTTGATATGTCATTTTTGCGATGTAACACAAACCTGCTGATATATAAAATTAACTTATTTGATCTGAAAGATGCAATTTTCAACATTTATCTCTTCTCATGTCTCGTCCAATTAGGAGTGTTTCATTTTCCACTTTGGATTTTCAACATTTATCTCTTCTCATGTCTCGTCCAATTAGAAGTGTTTCATTTTCCACTTTGGATTTTGTTTTCTCTTTTTGGGTAATGGAATGTTCATGTTTTTAACTCTGAAAATCAGTTAATTATTAGCTTATTAACATTTTATTTTAAAATTTTGGAAATTAGGAGGATCAAAACTATATAATATCTTGCGCTACCTTGTCTTCCCCCCTCCCCCTCCCCACCTCTATGAACAATAAAAACAAAATTTTGACTTTATATATACCTGGTATATTAAAACTTTAAACAGTATGAAATGTTTTTCTCTTTCCAGGAGAAAGTAAAACAAAGAAGGATGTCTCGGTTTGATGTGGAGAAGTTCGACCCTGCTCCGGATCCCGATCTTATCTGCTGTATCTGTCAGTGTGTGTTGGATTCCCCTATGGAGAGTCCATGCAGACATGTTTTCTGCAAGATCTGTATTGAAACATGGCTAACGAACCATCACAACTGTCCAACCTGTCGTCGCAGTCTGAGAACTCGGCGACTCAAGCCAGTCCTACCGCTTGTACAAAACATGATCAATCGCCTTCAAATGTCTTGTGATTTCAGCACAAATGGTTGCAAGGAAATTCTAATTCTGGAACAATATGATAGCCATTTGAAAGTTTGTGACTATGAGAAGTTAAAATGCCGTTTCTCGAAGTGTGGCATTGAACTCCTTCGGAAAGATTTAAGTGAACATGAAGAAGATTTGTGTGAATTTCGAGAAAAGCGATGTATTAAACAGTGTGGTTTAATGATACCAATTTCTGTCTACGAAACACATGACTGCTTTGTAGAGCTCCAGAAATTTGCAACTGGCAAGTATTTTTAGTCTCTCTTTAATGACTGTTGCAGGAAAAAATTCTAGAAATTATATAAAACACTCGAAAACAGAAAAAAATGCATAATGTGAACTAATGTAGACACTAAAATTTTGGAAAAAATATATATTATCAGATATCAATGCATGCATAACCTGATACTTATGTTCAGAGATCATACCCTCAGAATGGCAATTCAATGTACTCCAGTATAAATATATGTAATACAGTACAAACTTTACATTTCATGAGCTTCAACTTTTGAGAAGAGCATCATTCATTTTCACGTTTTTATTGTAAATCAATTAAAAAATCAAAGTATATACAGTCACTTTAATAATCATTATTTCTCATTTCCTTCTTATTTCAGAAAGTACAGCACTTGTCGACACTTTGAAAAAGAGTGTCAAAGAATTGACAGAATTAACAAAGACCATGAAGAAAAATTTGGAAGATTTGTCCCGAGAACTACAGGGACGAAGAAATCGCTCTCCTCTTTCCTCACCGTCCTATTCGCCATCATACTCATTCACCAGTAGTGGAGATGAATCAGATCTGTCCAACTTCATACTGGATGACTACAGCAATGATAGGTTTGGTGATGATCACAATAATGATCGCCATATTCCAGAGATCACCACAGCCTTGCAGATGTACATGGACCGAACCCAAGACCAGCGAACTGTGAGATGGCGCAGCAGAAACCCCAGTAGAAATGTGCAGGTCATTGACCTGGTTCAGCCTGCCAATATTAACACAACAGAACAAGCCATTAATTCTGCAAACGGAAATGTTAGCATTCAAGGCGCATCCGCCGCTGTCGCTGCGGCTGAAGTTTCAAGCAGGTCAAACAACAGTGATGTGAATGGAAACCAAGTTTTGGGACCAAGCACAGCTGCAAATGGACAGTCTACATTAGTGTCAAGACAAGAAAGACATCAAAGTAACGAGCCTATCTCACCAACACGTGTCAGCACGCGGTCACGGAGCCATATATGGGACTCGGATATCAGTGTTTTATCATCCTCGTCTTCTTCTTCATCCTCATCATCTGATGATGATGTGGATAGAGACTTTGGTATTGATCGTGAAGAGGATGGTGGACAACAGGACAGGGACAGAAACAGTGATAGGTATTCCTATTCTTTTTCATCTACACCAATCAATTCCCCAGATAGATCTGTTAGAAGTGGGTCAAGCAGTGGGTCTACCATTTGCAACGATGATCATGGAAGTCCATCAGTGCATAGTGTCATCAGTTCGTCACATGGATCCAACCAAAGTATGTCGGAAATATACACTGATGATGAAGGTGATGGATCTTATTGTTCAAGTAGATCTGCAAATCCAGCAAGGGTATCAGACACTCGCCAGCAACCATCTTATTCCAGTGACCAACATACTTTAATAAACCAATCCAGCCAGTCTATAGATTCCAGCAGTAGCAAAGATGGTTCCAATATGGATAGATCAAGAAATCACATCACTAAAAACTCTAGAACTATTCACAATTCTAGCCTAAACCAGTCTGGTCATTCTTTATATTACCAAATTAACCATAACTCTAGCATGGACCGTTCAACTCATACTGTAGAATCTGAACAAGAACACATCTCCAGTATTGAGCATTCATCTCATTCGGAAAGTTCTAGATTGGAAGGACACACTTCCAGAAACAGGTCAGGTGCTAGTGTAGAATCTAACAGTGATCAGAACTCAGATTTCAAGACTAACCCGATTGCTTCATTCAGCAGTGGTGTGACCTCTTCGAGGAATTTGTCCTACTGTAGCTCAGACCAGGAATACAGACAACAGGATTTAAGGAATCAAACCGCCAGTGACCAGAATGATGTCATTGTGGTCAGCGTAGAAAATGGTTCTTGTCCTATTCCTGGATTAAGTGTGAAGAAGCTTAAGCGTAGAGGGAATGCTACCTCTACTACCTCAGCTTGTGGTGGAATGTCACCAAGCGTTGATAGTGATAGCTGTATAACAAATACAACCTCACCTCATAAATTGGATAACACTGTAAATGACGTTAAGGAGAAAAAGTATGTTCAAGTCGATAGTAGCATAAATAGCAGCTCAACTGGCAGATCACCTTGTCCACTTTCCACACAGAGGCCAATTAGGAAACGTAAACATGCTAGCAATAGTTGTTGTTCCAGTAACTCGAGTCAAGAACGTTCACCATCACCAAAAAAGAGATTAATATACCCAAGTGAGGCTGCTTTCACCAATAAAACCAAAGGGAGGGGACACCTGGGGGATAATGCTAACGTACCAGAAAATGTATCGGCTCAAAGCTCTGGTGAAGGGATGGTTTCTGGTACTTGCCAGCAGCAGGTACAAGTTTCTGGATTATCTGTGGAAAACATGAGGGCTTCTGTCATAACTTCCTCTCATGTTGAAGGGGAGACAACTTGTGTGGCAACCAACAATACCACTATTTCTAGTAAAGAACTTGTTGCAAACAAACCTGTTTCCTCCTCTTATTTAACAGAGAAAAATCCAGTCGTACAACTTTCCAATATCAGTGTTCATGACATATCAGGCCAGAGGGAGTGCATTGCAACTGGGTTTTCTCAAGGAAATACCCACATTGAAGTTCCGGTATCGGAAAATATAACGATGGAAAACAGAAACACAGATCCCAACCTGGATACAACGTTTGACCTACGTGAATATAATTCTGATACTGATGACACTTGGGAACCGCTGGACAGTGTTGTTGACAGCAACAGTGACTTGGATTACCAAGGAATGCTGACCGATACAGATGACACAGACAACACCAATGACGCATGGCAGAACCTCGTCAACGGACAGGAATCAGTGGCCGCCAATACTGGTAGCTCACGGTCAGAAAGCGATGACACTTGGGAGCCGAGAATTAGCAGAGATGACAACAGTAATTCCGAAGGTGATGATGATTCTTATCTGTCCGAGCTTGACATTGACACGGACAGTAGCTATGAAGTGAGAATTCCTATGTCTGTTGCCCAGCTCTTAGATAAATACGCTTCTGAGGATCATGATTCGGATGATAGCTGGACACCCCATTAAACCATCGTCGCTGAGTTACAGAAAATGTTTGATTCCTGTTTCCGAATAGTTTTGCAATTTTGGTGTACCTATATACAGCAAAATTTTGTTTTTGTTAACACTTCTCCATTCTTTCTTTAAGNGATCTGCAAATCCAGCAAGGGTATCAGACACTCGCCAGCAACCATCTTATTCCAGTGACCAACATACTTTAATAAACCAATCCAGCCAGTCTATAGATTCCAGCAGTAGCAAAGATGGTTCCAATATGGATAGATCAAGAAATCACATCACTAAAAACTCTAGAACTATTCACAATTCTAGCCTAAACCAGTCTGGTCATTCTTTATATTACCAAATTAACCATAACTCTAGCATGGACCGTTCAACTCATACTGTAGAATCTGAACAAGAACACATCTCCAGTATTGAGCATTCATCTCATTCGGAAAGTTCTAGATTGGAAGGACACACTTCCAGAAACAGGTCAGGTGCTAGTGTAGAATCTAACAGTGATCAGAACTCAGATTTCAAGACTAACCCGATTGCTTCATTCAGCAGTGGTGTGACCTCTTCGAGGAATTTGTCCTACTGTAGCTCAGACCAGGAATACAGACAACAGGATTTAAGGAATCAAACCGCCAGTGACCAGAATGATGTCATTGTGGTCAGCGTAGAAAATGGTTCTTGTCCTATTCCTGGATTAAGTGTGAAGAAGCTTAAGCGTAGAGGGAATGCTACCTCTACTACCTCAGCTTGTGGTGGAATGTCACCAAGCGTTGATAGTGATAGCTGTATAACAAATACAACCTCACCTCATAAATTGGATAACACTGTAAATGACGTTAAGGAGAAAAAGTATGTTCAAGTCGATAGTAGCATAAATAGCAGCTCAACTGGCAGATCACCTTGTCCACTTTCCACACAGAGGCCAATTAGGAAACGTAAACATGCTAGCAATAGTTGTTGTTCCAGTAACTCGAGTCAAGAACGTTCACCATCACCAAAAAAGAGATTAATATACCCAAGTGAGGCTGCTTTCACCAATAAAACCAAAGGGAGGGGACACCTGGGGGATAATGCTAACGTACCAGAAAATGTATCGGCTCAAAGCTCTGGTGAAGGGATGGTTTCTGGTACTTGCCAGCAGCAGGTACAAGTTTCTGGATTATCTGTGGAAAACATGAGGGCTTCTGTCATAACTTCCTCTCATGTTGAAGGGGAGACAACTTGTGTGGCAACCAACAATACCACTATTTCTAGTAAAGAACTTGTTGCAAACAAACCTGTTTCCTCCTCTTATTTAACAGAGAAAAATCCAGTCGTACAACTTTCCAATATCAGTGTTCATGACATATCAGGCCAGAGGGAGTGCATTGCAACTGGGTTTTCTCAAGGAAATACCCACATTGAAGTTCCGGTATCGGAAAATATAACGATGGAAAACAGAAACACAGATCCCAACCTGGATGCAACGTTTGACCTACGTGAATATAATTCTGATACTGATGACACTTGGGAACCGCTGGACAGTGTTGTTGACAGCAACAGTGACTTGGATTACCAAGGAATGCTGACCGATACAGATGACACAGACAACACCAATGGCGCATGGCAGAACCTCGTCAACGGACAGGAATCAGTGGCCGCCAATACTGGTAGCTCACGGTCAGAAAGCGATGACACTTGGGAGCCGAGAATTAGCAGAGATGACAACAGTAATTCCGAAGGTGATGATGATTCTTATCTGTCCGAGCTTGACATTGACACGGACAGTAGCTATGAAGTGAGAATTCCTATGTCTGTTGCCCAGCTCTTAGATAAATACGCTTCTGAGGATCATGATTCGGATGATAGCTGGACACCCCATTAAACCATCGTCGCTGAGTTACAGAAAATGTTTGATTCCTGTTTCCGAATAGTTTTGCAATTTTGGTGTACCTATATACAGCAAAATTTTGTTTTTGTTAACACTTCTCCATTCTTTCTTTAAGCTTTGCGACAAAAAGAAGTATGTGCCTATATATAGCTACTGACCCTTTTCTTTGACATTATAGTACACCAGGAAACCAATTTTTGTTTAGCTTGATCATATCTGAACATGGTATCAGCCCATCAGGGTGTGAATTCAGTTTCAAAATGAATTACGTTTATAAAGTTCTATAAAAAACATTGTAAAGGCTCTTACAGGGCAAGTAGGCCAAACAATGGATTTGCCTGTACTGAAAGACTATCTGTGCCATTTTTAGTTCACCTGGTTAAAATAAGTGTATCAATCAATTTAATATAAGTTGAATAAGTTAATATAATGCTGCTATATATATACCATTTCTGTTGTCTCCCTGAGGTAGTCTAAACGTATAGGTTTGAAATGAAAATTATTAGGTGAAACTTCTACATTTTGTATAAATATCTTAATTTCTTCATTCCTGGTACATTTAGTATTTTGTGTCAAAAATCGATTCTACAGAATTTGCTCCCTCCCCAGGTTAGTCTATACAGAAATGTTAGAAATTAAAATCATAAATGTATATTGGAAATTTTCGCTGCAGTTTAATTTTCGCCTTTTTCGCCCTCCGTAATGAGAGTAAATTTATCATCACAGCGAATATTGGTCAACAACATTATTTACATAGTAATTAGATGTGAAGGGTGACAAATTACATTTTAACACTGGGCGAAAATGGATTTTACCATCGAAGGGTGAAATTACATTGTAACACTGGGCGAAAATGGATTTTACCAGCGAAGGGTGGACTGGACGAAATGTTTTCAGTATACAAAACTAAAATTATTTAATTTCTAAATACCAGCTACCAGTAGTATTTGGTGTCATACAATGATGCCATGGAAGAATTTCTGATCCTGACTTGTTCTATCAGTACATTTCATGATTACATCGGTATCTGGGATATTGATTGACTATATATAGCTATGTCTGTCAGAACTTGCACTCTGACTTTGGCACAGTTGTGCCACAAGGGGTGGGTTGTAGTTCTTGATGCAGAATGTGACATAAATTGCTTCCCCTTTATCCATTGCTAGTATGTTACACAACTTGACAAAAATGTACTTAATCGATTATTGCCCTCTGCTGAGAACACTGTGGCCTTGTAATGTTGCCGAAGGAAGGAACAGTGCTCAAGCCAGAATCCCATCAGTTAAGGATGTAACGAATGATTAAAATTCATCTGGAAACTTACTTCCACAAGTTTTGTTCATATGAAAATATGAAATTATTGATATACGACCTTACAATAACATGGGATTTCTTTCAAAGGATTTCCATATTAAGAAACCTATTGAATACATTTTATGAATGGTGATTTATTCTGTATTAACTAATGACATGTTTGGAAGGTACACACAAATAAATGGGGTTACCATCTTTGTAAATTAAGATTTAGGGAATTGACTCCTACACAGATCACTGGTTTAAAATACATATAAACAATGTAATATTATTAATTTAAGATTTTAAGGCCGGTAACATGTAACATCTACACAGATCTTTGGTACATGTCTAATGGGTAAGGTAGCATGATTCTATTTATGTTTAAATGTTATTTATTCAGATCAAGAGAGACCTGGACCACATTCAATTGAGTAATGCTCAAGCCCAATTTCTTGGTCCTGTGATAAATTAATAAAAGGTCACATTTTGTCAATGATATGGAAGAATTTTGAAAAGACTTAACTCATTCACCCCTGAAATTTCATAATGAACTATTACAACCTTTAAATTGGAAGAGCTCAAATGTGTCTTCAGGGGTGAATGAGTTACAGCCAAATCCTGTTTCCAATGTTTAAACTTTACTTTTTGGTAGTGTTATACCAAAGTTGGCCTGAGCTGGGGATTCATGTTCGAACATGAGAACAGTTCATGAATACAGGCCCCATTTTTGCATGTTTTGTTCGAGATACTGCTGGATATGTACCTATATTAGTGATAGTTATAATGAAGTGCTTCTGACACTAATTAAAAAACACTGGATAATACTAACTGCTAAATGTAGAAGAGTTCTTCTATTTATTATAAATACATGTATAGATAAATCATGCTGCATTTCACCTGGTAATTTCTCTTCAGCACAGAAATATGTATGTGTTAATATAAGTTGAGGTACATGTATGTTTATAGGAACGAAGCTCAATTTTCACTGATTAAGTTAATTGTTAATTTGTAAATCTTTAGCTTGCATACATACCGCGGGTATTTGTTTTTTATTCAAAAATTGAAAATTTACCAATCAAAAATGTCTCCCTATAAATATGTTTGAAGTGATAACAAAACTTATCCAGCAAAAATTATCAATTAGAACAATATTTTGTTTCGCTACATATTCAAATGCATATCATTACAATAAGTGACACGTGCTTGATTTTAGCTTGTGTTTATACATAGATCTTTCGCTTATAACATTTCTTTCCATCCTCGATACCCCAGGGGTTACGCTCACTTTCGCTCTCTGCACCCCTGGATTATGTCATTGAAGGCTCAGTGTGCACCACTTTGTTGATGAGAAAAGAATAAAAGTTCTATCCTTTGATTAACATCAAAAGAATCTCGCGGTCATGTAACTGTAAACATTGACTGACTTTGAAGTCGGGTGTTGCTCCTTTGTAATCTCCAAAAGACTCCTACACAGTTTTCTTTACATGGGAACAATCAAACAGCTACCTTAGTGTCTACAAATTTGCTATGACATATTCCAAGGGTGCAGAGAATGAAAGTGAGCGAAACTCCTGGATATTGAGGATGATATGTCTCACGACATATTGCAATTTCATTTACACCACGTTCTATTGGTGTATTGTATATTTATGAGAGGAAACATTGAATAAAAACCAAAAATTTTGCTAAAAGAAAAATGACAGCTTCTTGTTGACCAGCCTTTTTCTGCATTTAATGATTTAAAATTAATTCTACCTTACTTCGATATGGATCTCTGTTTCTAGAAGAGCTCCATCAAAGAGACCTGTCGGGTATGTTTCCCAGGTCTTTCAGCTGACTTAGTAACTTCTTGGTGCTCATACAGGTCATGAAGAAAAGCTGGATTTGAGGTCAGTGCTTAAAAAGTACTGGAAGGTAGTTATATCCAGGAAGAGTGCTAAAATTTGCTCAATTTCCTATTAAATAATCTTGAATTTATTAACTGGAGAAACTGAACAAGTATTAGGACTGTCTAAAAGTTTAGTTAATGAAGAACTATTAAAAGGTTTTTGCTGATGTAAGTTTATCATATAAAGTTGATCGTTTTGATTTGTTGTGCTTTGTTTTAATTCCATGCTTTTTATAAAAAATAATCTGGACCAAGGTTTTTGAAGATTTTCCACTATTTCATATAGGATTTTCGTCTAGTATCAACCATCTGATTGATTGATTGATAGGTTTTACGTCCGCTACACTACCCAGTAGTTCGGTTATCCAGCAGACGAATATCAACCACCCCTTGAACTATATGGCTTCCCCTTGCTGGCAGTTTGAATATCTATATATGCCTAAGGGTGTTGCCCAAATTGATTGATTGGTTTCACCTCCGCTTCACTACCGAGAATTTCGGTTATCCAGCAGACTGTTGCCCAAACAAGGGGTCCACTACTTATACTCTAAACAATAGGGGATTGATCCTCTATTGTCTATATATTAGTAGGGTAGGTCAGTGATCAAGGCTCACCAGACAGACTCTACCTAATCTTATTGTTCTAATATCAGGGTGTGGTGATCACCCTGTCAGTTGAGAGAGGACTATACCATCTGTTGGAATTAGGTATATATAGGTAAAGCGTTATTTCAAAGGTAGACTCAATTTCATGATAGATAAACCAGCATTTTCACCTGTGGTTTCATGTACACATGATCACCAGGAGTGATTTTTTATACCAATTAAAAAATATATATATCAAAAATTTCAGAGACGATGAAGCACACTCCTTAGCATCACTTTATCAAGTGAATAATAACCAATTTTAGCATACAATCCTGGCATGTATATTTTTTCAACAGGTGTTGCCCTTGTTCATATGTAAGCGTACAAATTCACAATAAAAGACAGTCAAATCATAATTCATATTTATGACCAAAAAAAATCAATATTTAATTGCCAAAATGCTCGCCTAAACTACATGCACATGAAGGCCAAGACACAAACATCAACATTTTTACCATCTTTTTAGAGAAATTGTTAACATTCACTCTGCTCGGCCATCATAAAAAATAAATACTCGACGTTATAAAATATAACCTGGAACAATACCGCAAACTCAGAAAATTTTAACTATTCTACGCCTCACTCGATCTGTTTGACAATGGAAATAATGTCCGATAAATTCTTGCTTTCTACGCTCGCCAGTGCTTGAAATAGTTTAGTATTACATCTTCAGAAAAAAAAATCACAATCTCAGAAATAATGATGTTCTATATATTTGGTGCCAGAAAGTAGTATACATGTACAACCGACATGACAATTCTAACTTATTTTTTCTAGATAAGTGCAAACATTTGCCTTTTCTGAATATAAAAAATTTGGGCAACACCCACATTTAATTCCTGGGTCCCCCCCGCCCCCCGACTTTCTCACTTGGCAAACGTTAGAAACTAAGGCTTAAAGTAAGGTATTGTCAAAAAAGACGCTAGCTAATTAAATACACTGCATAAATAACGTGCTATATGATAGCTGTTTTGACTAAACATTAGCTTCTCGGCAGCTACTTACAACAGAAATTGTTTTTCTGATCACCTGATTAGCAAATTTTGAAAGAATATCTGTGAAAGTAGGCTAGCGTTGACGTTGCTCATATGGCTCATTAAGGACCAGGGACACAAAATGATCTAGGTCCCAGATAAGTTCAGTTGAAATACTGCAAACATAATTATATCACGAAAAATAGCTTTACAACAGCTACTTACAGTAGGCCCATGGCTGAATTTGTCCAAAACGAGTAAACCAGTTGTCATTTTACAAAACGATGAATGCTAAGCAAGAAACAACAACTATCATTTTTAGCTCACCTGGTCCGAAGCGCAGCATCCGTCATCCGTGCGTCAACTTTTCCTTTAAAACACTGCTAGTCATGAACCACTGAGCAGATTTTGACCAAATTTGGTCAGAAACCTCCTTGGGGGAAACCTTAAAAACGTTCTTCTGTAGGAATGAAAGTTATTTTCCATACTTGGTGTGGAGCATCCTTGGGTAAATGGAAACCAGTTTTTTTATAAATGGTGGGTCTGGCCCCCCTGGGGGCTGAGGGGCGGGGCCCATTAGGGGAAATAGAGCAAATTATTTACAATCCTTCTTCTTCTGTAGGAATGAAAGGATTTGTTCCATATTTGGTCTGAAGCATCGTTGGGTGAAGGGGAACCAATTTTGTATAAGCAGTGGGTGTGGTCTCCCAGGGGACAGAAGGGCGGGGCCCAATAGGAGAAATAGAGGTAAAACCTTAAAATCCTTCTTCGACCATGGGATTAAGGGTTTTATCCTTATATAGTCTGCAGCATTCTTGGGTCGTTGTATAATTCGTTGGTATGACCCCCCCCACCCCCACCCACCCCACCCCCCCTTAGGGCATAGGGGTGGGGCTCTGTTTGAAGTTTGTTTTCGCTATATCTCAAGTACTGGATGGATCTTTCTGAAGTTTCATATGTAGTTACAGCACCTACCATGGAGAATCATTTTAAACATATTCAGGTGAGCGATACAAGCCCTCTGGGCCTCTTGTTAAGACTATATTTTTTCCCGTCCTGCTGACAGAACGTTCAACACTGACGCCAAAACTGAGGTATTGCCAAAGCAGGTGCTTTCAAATGCTAGCTGGTTGAATTAACTGTGTAAATAACTGCTAGATGGTAGTTGTTTGACTAAATGCTAGCTTCATAACGATTACTTAAAAAAGTATTTGTCCAAAAACTGTTTTGAGGTCACTTGATTTTCAAATTTTTAAAGAATTTGTGAAAGTAACCAAGCTTTGACGTTGCTCATATGGCTCCAATGGGGTCATGGAGAAAAAAATGCAATTGATCTATATTGATATTGTTTCAGTATGCTTGTAGTCAATTGTGACTGAAACGCATTGCTCTATCAACATTACAGATATCCTCGATATCCAGGGTTACGCTCACTTTCGCTCTCTACACCCCTGGAATTTGTCATAGCAAAATCGAAGGCTCAATATGTGCAGCACCATGTGGTTGAGACGAGAAGACTAGTTTGGTTTGGTCCTTTGATGTACATCAAAAGAATCTCGCGGTCGCCTAACGGTACAAATTGACAGGCTTTGAAGTCGGGCATCGCTCCTTTGTAATATTTTAATCTAAAGAGGAAGTACATACACATAACTGTCACAGCTCACATATGCCGAAGAAATTTGACATTCTTTATGTCTACACCTTTCCATATATCAAACAGAAAAGGTTCATGGCATAACATTTCTTTACATTTATATATACTGTATAAAACATCATATTGATTCTTTTCCGGGTTTTGTTGGAGTTCATCACTTGATCAACTTCAGATTCCCATCATCTGAGCGTGGTCCCTAACAAGTTTTGTTGATTTACAGTTTCTTTCTGTGNTTTTTGCTACTAGTATTGGCTGAATATTGTGTAATTACGTAACCAGTTAATTGTGTAAACAACATTTGCCCACCTTGTTAACTGAAAGCGTTATACATAACAGAGCTTATGACCTCTTTCATAATAACGAAGATTCGGGCATGAATATTAATTGTTGTTATTTGAAATTGCGCAAACATGTTTCCTTTGAGTAAAAATAGCTTAACGACAGATACGTACGGTAAGTCATGTACTGTATTCGTCTAAAACTGTTTTATATATATCAACCCAGTCAAAGACTCGCTCCTGCTATTCACCGTCCGTTTATGATTTAGGACTAGCAATGACTGAATACATCGTAATCAGTTCATCATAGTAAATTGTTTACCTTGCTTTATAGGAAAATTCGGACATGAATGATATTTTTTGTTAGTATCTTAAGACTGTTGTGAATATATGAAAACAAATCTCAAAGTTTTACATTTAATATCAAAGTTTTGATATTGACATGATTATACTGAATTTTAAACATGGTGCATAGTGTACTGTTTTTTTAGCGAATACTCATTAATCATTACATACAATATCAGAAGCTATATACTAAGTTGCCAAATCGATTTAGGAAAGTTTGGCAATCTTATTAAAATAGCACTGGAAATGGACTACAACGAGAGAGAGAACTTTCTTTAACTAGTAAATCTATGTTTACGACATCAAATAAATGACGTTTGGGCAAGCCTTACCAGAAAGTTAATATTCAATCTAAATTCGAGTGTCTACAAATGGTGTGGCTTGCGAAGACTTAAACAAGCTTAGCTGTGATACAAAGTCTTGGATACAACAACAAAAATTGGTTACTTATAATATTCTTTCCTCAAATATGCATTTGTATGACAGTTCTGTCATTTTCTGTGGTTACCTGGTTAACGATTACAAATGTATAATCTACTGTTCTATGTAGAACTGTAAGGGTTCATGGTTACGGTAAAACCTAACTACATGTATTACAAGTGTATAATTTGTTATCCTGTAATGTCAATGTTCTCCTAAGACATTATAGTAAGATATTCTTCTACTAGAACTAGCAGATCTTCATGATCGTATGGGATTTCTCCTCAAAATCGCCTCTCCTTGACCAAGGTTTTCGATGGCTTTCCCCAGCCAGCAATACCAATAGGCTTCAAATTTACTACTTTGTTAGAGTTCAATTCAAGTCCTTTATTATTTTGAATAAATCAGTGTAATAATTCTAGTGCAAATACAAAATAACATCATACAACACTACACACACTCACTACACAATTACAAATAGAAACAGTATCACATACATTTGGAGAAAGCAACTGAAAATATAAGCTGTTTATGATTCTTCTCGAATTTGCAAATTCTAAATATTTCCCAAAGTTTGTTGTTTTGTATAATTCACACTCAGTAGACCTATCAATTTAAACATGCTTGGCTTTTTAACAAAATAAGTATGTCGGTATGAGCTAAAACATCTGTTTGGCTAAGTTTATGTTGCTATTTACCTGTATTTTCACCGTTTGTTTCAAGTTTTTATGACCACGAAAAAGACCTTGACTTCATAATTGCATTTTTGTCTTGAATCCTTAAGGTTCGATGCGGTTGTCCTATAGTTATCGGTGTCCGTTAGTCCGTCCGTCCACACTATCGTTTCCAGAGATGATCTCGGAATCTGAACGACTAATCTTTCTGAAACGACAAGGTCATACACTGTGAAATGTAGATGTGCACTGGGGGTTTAAAAATGTCTAAGGTCAAGGTCAAGGTCACTATTACGAATTATAGACTGGTTGTACGGTCCTTATCTCGGAATTCAAAAGTCTCATTGTTTTAAGCTCACCTGGCTCTGTTATGCAGACGGAGTCAAAGGGCAACGTGGGTTAAAAGCTTTAAAATTAAGATTTCAAACAACAATATTTATGTAAACTTTAAAGGCCAAAGTTACTATTTATGAAAATATACCATGGGGTTTGGGGGTACGGTCAGTCACATGGCAGGGCCCTTGCTGACCTGACAGTGTTCTAGTTAACAGAATTGATACAATTTCCATAATATGCTACAATCATTTAATGCACAATTTCCGGATGTCTGTCCAATATGAACAAAATGAATCTGAATAGATGATAATGTGATGAACACTATATTAAGTTGGTTGCGACAAGCACATTTATACACAGATGATGAATATCCATGGAAATTCTTCAATTTTAGAGACATTGAAACATCTCCCATGTATGATATCATGTATGTATGAAGCTTTAGATAGTGTCTATATCTTAACTACTTCAATAGTATGGCAGAAATAGTATAGAGCCGCTTTGTTAGTTCCCTTTGTACAGCAAACTGACTTGTAATGTGACTATGTACACCAGGTATACAGCAAACTGACTTGTAATGTGACTACCTTGTTATGTCCCGGAAAGTTTTACTCTCTCTGATAGAAAAGATGTTTGTGTGATATCAGCGATGTATGTTATGAATAAATAAATAATTATGTAAACATTTAAAAAAATATGTATTCATGATAATATATTGGCAGACAAAAATAGAACCTCCATGTCAGTTCCTTTTGCATATCAGGTGTGTGTGAGAAATTGTTTAATATAAGATATGTTTTTGATCATATTATATTCCTGATAATATTATGGAGTCTCCATGTCAATTTCTTTGCATACCAGGTATGTACGAGAAATACTAATATAAGTAATGTCTTTTTAACGAGTTTCAGATCTCAAACACGAAAAATAAATTTCTGCATCAATTTAAGCGGTGATGCTGTCGGAAAGGAGGTAACATGGCTGTACGTACCACACGTGTTTATCTGATGTCACAGATTGCACGAGGGCAGTGTACTTGCGAGTATATTTTACGAGGATGTAGCTCGAGTGTCATATTCAGTTTAATATTCTTCATACCAAGCATTTTCTTCAGGCCCAGCAATTGTATATATTGTTATAGGGAAGAGATCTTAATCATCGTGCGCAGCATTTTCTTTTATATCGAGCAGTTGTATGTGTGGTTATAAGATAGAAATCTTACACGTTAACCTGTTATACCCACAGGTTCTAGCCTCGTCTGTCAATACATGTACACCCATAATATAATCTCATTATACTATAATGATGATAATAATAATACTGGACGCAGGCGTTATACCTATATATCCAGATCACGAAGGTTTACATCAGTTTATATGGCGATGTCCCGAATATGAATGAGTTCACTATTATCTATCTCGTGGTTAAAAAAAACATTCAGGTTGCCCCCAGTGTATATCCAATCATGATTCAATTATGTGTGTATTGACAGACGAGGCTAGTACCTGTGTTATATCCATGAGTGAAGACATTTTAGTTATTGTAACAACATTGTATTATCACAGTGTGAAATACAGTATCTTGTATTACATAACTGAAACTCGCTGTATATCGTTGTAGTAAGATTTTACAGACATGTGATAATAATGCCCAAAAGTATATAGGTATGTATGGAAAACCTTCTACAGGATATGTGCTAAGCATGTAACGTTTTGTCAAATGCGTTTCCTTTTTAATGAATGCCCAGATATTGCTGTAAGTCATGTAATGGTTAATTTTTAATGTGAAAACGCTGGATCAAACACAACTGACGTATTCTTTATTTCTATCCTAGGATAAGTACACATATATATTAAACACTGGAATATTGACATTATAAAGTACCCGAAACATTTCCTTGTAGGGAGATAACATTGTGTAGTTCACACATATATAACTAGTTTGGTTGTTTCTTTTCTTTCAAACAGTCATATCATCATATATCCACTTCATTTCATATCGATCGTTGTATAAATATAAATGTTGGGTTTTTCATACGAGATAAAGGGAATTTCCATTTGGAAAAGCAGTCTGGGGTGCGCCATATTTTATTTGAAGATTAAGTATTGCGATATTATCCATTGATGAACTATCTGTCTGATCGATAGCTAGGTGATTTACACACACAGCTGTGCACACTATATTCCGGATTCTGTTGTTTTCCATAGTACTTATCGTTGCTATCTCAGTGGTTGGAATTATTGACAACACGGACCTACCCAACATTTGTGGCATGTCACCGAGGTTATCTCAAGGTAACGAAAAGTCTGTCGACACAACAGTCAAGCGATAGCCTCAGGAAATCAGGGGTCACTCGGACGCACCTTACTCATAGGTGATAAGGTAAGTTTATGGTCAAATATTTTAAATTTATTTCATACTTCATGTATTTGCGTATGAAAAAACCCTTATTTGAGGTGTTCTGTATATCACGTTATTTATTTAAAGGTACATGTACATTGATCTACTTGTACCTAAAAGATTGGTATAAACATATAAACAGATTAGGTTTCGAGGGGAAAAAATCATGATTAAATTATTATAACAGGATATTACATCATGATACCTTTCCTGTGTTAATTTATCATTTCATGTAAACTGTATATCTTATTAATATTGATGTCAAATGTCAAAGTAAATTTCTTAACGCTCATTTAGCAAGATGAACGTAACACACACATACACCACCACACACGGATGACTTCACCGGTATAATTTGGTAATAGATACATAATAATAAACTTACACCTAGTAATTTGACATTGTTTTCGCAATTAAGAGATACACCTCAAACATCAAAACAGTTACACAAACTTGCAAACTTCGCCAATTTATCCATGTCGTTTTGACACATTCCTACTCTCAAGATTGGAGAGTTCAGCACGCTTGTTCGAGTCTACCCAGCTGTAAATGAGTACGTGGTTGGGCAGCGCTAGAAATGATGAATGCTATCTGTAAGTGCCGAAATAGCAGCTCCGGCTGTATGCTCCCCAGATATTTGCTGGTTGCAAAGGCCCTATAACCACCGATAACAGTTTGTGAAACGCTTTGAGACGACCTAAGAACTAGGTTGTGAAAAATCGGTTTATAAGAACCTCGAATTATTATTATTATTATTATTGAGCGGAAACTCTACAAAGGGCCATAACTCCGTAAATAACCGGCAAATAATTTTGGTTATCGCAAGCTTTCATAAAAATGAACCTTCCTATGAAGTTTGATATGAATCCATTCAAATTGACTGAAGTTATTGAGCGGTAACTGTTACGTCAATTCTATAACGGGCCATACCTCCCTTAATAACAGGCGGATAATGGTTATCGAACTTGCGCAAGCTTTCATAGAAATGAACCTCCCTATGAAGTTTGAAATGAATCTATTAAAAATTACTGAAGTTATTGAGCGGAACTTGTTTCGGCAATTCTGCAAAGGGCCATAACTCCGTAAATAACCGGCAAATAATTTTGGTTATCGCAAGCTTTCATAAAAATGAACCTTCCTATGAAGTTTGATATGAATCCATTCAAATTGACTGAAGTTATTGAGCGGTAACTGTTACGTCAATTCTATAACGGGCCATACCTCCCTTAATAACAGGCGGATAATGGTTATCGAACTTGCGCAAGCTTTCATAGAAATGAACCTCCCTATGAAGTTTGAAATGAATCTATTAAAAATTACTGAAGTTATTGAGCGGAACTTGTTTCGGCAATTCTGCAAAGGGCCATAACTCCGTAAATAACCGGCAAATAATTTTGGTTATCGCAAGCTTTCATAAAAATGAACCTTCCTATGAAGTTTGAAATGAATCCATTCAAATTGACTGAAGTTATTGAGCGGTAACTGTTACGTCAATTCTATAACGGGCCATACCTCCATTAATAACAGGCGGATAATGGTTATCGAACTTGCGCAAGCTTTCATAGAAATGAACCTCCCTATGGAGTTTGAAATGAACCTATTCAAAACTGAAGTTATTGAGCGGAACTTGTTTCGGCAATTCTGCAAAGGGCCATAACTCCGTAAATAACCGGCAAATGATTTGGTTATCGAACTTGTCCAAGCTTTCATGGCAATGAACCTTCCTACCAAGTTTGAAACTAATCCATTCAAAATTACTCAAGTTATTGAGCGGAAACGAATGTGTGCCCACCCGTCCACCCGCGTGAAAACATAATACGTCCCGTCATTCGACGGGCGTATTCAAATTGGGAAAGGTTAAGAGGGTATTTCGAAAAGGGTGTGCATATTTTAGAAAAAAAATGTTTAGCATCCTTTCAATATTAACATGAATATTCCTGTTTCAAACAAAATGTTCACTATGATTAAATGACGTAGAATGATTTTCTGGTGGAGGATTTGGTAACTGCTTGTGACGTCTGGGTAAGGACATGGAACGATTTAAGTTTTATATCTTATTTCAAAACACGATGTATATGTTTACTTTAGAACTAAGGAATAAATATGACCTTCAGAGTTACATTTGATGGAACAATGGTGGACAACAATTAACACAATTAAGTCTACTATAAAGTGCAAACTTCACTTCTCTCAATATAGAATATGGATCGGAAAACAACAAAATATTCAAACTGTTGTCGACCTAGTACGCTGTTTTATCGTTCTTTGTAGCGTCCTGCTTGGACATGTGTATGACTTACAGCTGTGAATGTAGATAGTAAACCTCATCACCTGATGATGTTATAGTTTTGTGTTCCAGTGCTGTGTTTACGTGATGTCCGGACGTGTAGCTGTTATACTGTTGCTGGTATGTGTGACGGAGGTGGTGCCGAGAACATGTAGAAAGTACGCCAACCAAGTACTCCTGGTATCCATGGACGGGTTCAGGTACGACTACCCCGAGAAGGTAGCTACGCCCAACTTTGACAGAATGGCGCGGAATGGTGTCAGGGCTGCCTATGTCAACAATACGTTCACTACCAAGACATTTCCTTCACATTACAGTATTGCTACAGGTAAAAGAAATAACAATATGAACTAAAACGTTTTAAAATAATATAAAAGAACAAAATAAAGGGTGAATTATTTCCAAAACCTGCATCATACAGTTATTTCTTAATTCTAGGAAGGAATTATCGGTAATAATGCCAAAACGGTGGAAATCTAAATGATACTGTTTCGAAGGAGAGGTGAGTGAAACCCCTTAAATCAGTTTAGTTTAATTTTGTAAAGCCAACATCAACATTGACCTCTAGAACGAAAGGGAAGAGGGCCTATACATTCTTGACTTCCTTACAAATTTTTAAATTTTAGGCTGCAGCAGATAATTAATTTTTAAATTACTATTTCATGTCACCCCCGCCAGATACTGTGCTGAAGTCAAATAATTTGTTCCCGCGATCAATTCATAACAAACAAACTTTGTTCATAATTTTGGATGAGTTTGGTCTCGGATAAAAAAATATCCTCACCAATCACCAAGGCTGATGCATGTCCTTTGAAGATTACAAAGGAGTGACATCCTACTTCAAAGCCAGTCAATTTCACCGTTACGCGGCCGACAGATTTACATCAAAGGATCAAACTAGTCTTCTCGTCTCGTCTACATGGTGGTGCACACTGAGCCTTCGACTTTGCTATGATATATTCCAGGGGTGCAGCAAGCGAAAGTCAGCGTAACCCCTGTAGTATCAAGGAGTCCACTCGTGTCTAAAAAATGAGAATCAATTTCAAAATGTTCCGAAATGTATGTAGAAAATAGTGGAAACAGACAGGTGCATATAAAACCCTTTATTTTGTGATGTATACAGTTAATTGAACAAAATATTATTTAAAAGAGACTTAAATAGAACATGCTGATATATTTTTATTATCTTTATTATTTATTGTTGATTTATTCTCGACATACTTCATTTTTATAGGTAAAACGTCAAAACTAGAAAAAAGTTTAATTTCAACTTCAATATTTTATTGAACATTTTTACTTAGACAGTAACCTAAATGCAAATAATAAAACAAAAAACGTATAAAGAAATTTTGAACAACATATAAACTTACACAGAAGCCAAGCCCACTCTCCTCAGTTCAAGTGACTATTTTATGAATAAGCAAGAGTCAGGCATAAGTTTAATATTGTCTGTGGAGAACATTTGTATTAAAGTATTTGTGTTAAGCATAGAATCATATTGAATACATTTGTTCAATAAGACATTTCTCAGTTGTGCAATATAGCCACACCCGAAGAAGAAATGTTTCTCATCTTCTAGAATAAGACATTTTTGTCAAAAGAAGGTGGTGTGTATTTTTTTACACTGATACAAACATACAACCATTATACATTGTCACATTTCTTTGACCTATACTTACGGCAAACAGGGATACTAGGGGAAAGGGGCGGTGACCAAATCACTTTTCAGCTAATGTGTAGTTTTCAACAAGTAACGCTTTGGTGGGTATTGTTTGCAAAATGATATTGATTAAACACTAATGAAGGAAAGCAAAGGGTATACAGAGGTAAAATGACATTTTTTGTCGTTTTCTATTACAAAATTAACAGGCGATCGTCAGAAAAATAAATAAGAAATGAACTATGATATTTATCAAGTTAATTAAAGTATATAAATTAGCAATGAACTATGACATTTATCAATTTTATAAAAGTTATATTAATGTTGACAATAACAAATTAGTTTTGGCTTTGGAACAATAGTATTTTGCTTCCCACGAACAGTCACCTTTACGCAAGGAAAATAATACGGTTTCTTAGATAAGAATTTAAATCTTCTGAAATATGGCATTATTGATTAGTCTAAAAGGAGGATTCAAATACCGTCACGCTACAACAATTGGAACAACTTTGAGGAGATGTTTCTTGATGCCTGAAAAAGACTACCCATACATGATTGCTCATTTTCAAGAAGAGTTTTGAAATTAGTAATTCGTTTTTAAAAATAGAACTCTAAACTCGCAGTGAGATTTCGTCCGTTTTTCGGCAATGATTAGTACCCAAATTGGTATACCATATCACAGGCTATGAAATTTGAATTTATTACCACTAGTCGATGTGCAGATTGCAACAAAATATATTGCTTTTATAAATACCACACTGAAGTGTATCTTTACACATTAATTTTATACGGTTAAAGGGAAAAGAAATCAACATTAAAAATGCTTTATTTTTTACCCCTTGAAAGTCCTCCAACATTTCGTCGACGTGCGTTTTTTTCAGGTTTTGTGACATATTTACTTTTAAGTCATCGTTTACACTTCAAATTTTAACGAAAACAAAACTATTTGGTGGAAATGCTGTTAAATGTCTCTTTTGTTATACCATCAGAAGAAAATGAACAAATGTTATTTAAAAGTACTATTCGAACCGTTTTCTGACCGTGTACCAATTATGGTGGCGTACCAACCGGGTTGCGTGACGTTATGCATGTATATATACATTTGCCCCCGCGCCGTCCCATTACAACAGTGTTAGAGGGCAAGTGTAATTATATAGGCTATAATTACAACTGCTCAACTCTAATTACAACTGCCTGTTTCAGGTGTAGGAATATGTAAACAAACAAAATGGCCTCCTGAAATGTATTTTGAGGCAGGGCAAATGGTTTTTGTAGGAATATGTCTTAGCGGGTTTTATGGGAAATGCCAGAGGCCACTTGTAATTATATCAACAATAATTACATCCAGACAACCAGTTATTGTTTAAATGTTGCTTTCTTTGGATTTTTGCATCGACATACTAGCACTAACTATTTTTAAATCGTTGCTTCACCTTGTTATTCAAGCGGTTTCGTTTTGCTTTTATTATAACTAACCGTCAAATAGAACCAACAAAAATGCTTCTGTTAATCAAAGCAAAGAATTGTTGAAAATTTCAAGAACGTACCTTTTCCCCGAATAACAAAAAATCACAATTTTTACCATCGGATGAGGTATTCTGATCTATATTATTGCATTTTATAGGATTGTATGACGAAAGCCACGGAATTGTAGGAAACCATATGTACGACCCTAAATATAATGAAATATTTAGCATGAGGTCACACGAAACAAAATGGTGGGATCAAGGAGAACCAATTTGGATTACAACCCGGAAACGCGGTCTTAGATCAGGGACACTGTTTTGGCCCGGAAGCGAAGTGGAAATTCAAGGTCTCCGTCCCAACACTTGGTACACATATAACGAAAGTTTACCGTTTGACCAGAGGGTAGACATGGTCATTGACATGCTGAAGAAGGACAAATTAAATTTTGTCACAACCTACTTCCACGAACCAGACCGGACTGGTCACTTGTTTGGGCCAGAATCGGTTGAAGTCCGTAATAAAATAGTCGAAATGGACACACTTCTTGGCACACTATTAGATAAGTTAAATGCCAGTGGACTTTTGGAAACCGTAAATCTGATTCTAACAAGTGACCATGGAATGGCAACGACCGATTACGACAATAAGTTGATAGAAATATACGATTTGGTGGATCGAGCCAAGATCAACTTTACAGTGGACAGTGGACCAATCATGCACGTGGTGCCAGTGGAAGGTCAGGTGGACACCGTCATCAGGAAAATAAACCGGAACCCCAACTTCACAGCCTACAGGAAAGAGGATATACCGGAAGGCTGGCACTATAAGAACAACCGAAGAATAATGCCAGTGTTCGTACTAGCTAAGGAAGGATGGACAATCACTCCGGTAAGAATAATACCTTTATACTTATAACGTTTGTTGAAAAAAACAAATAATATTATGTTTGTTGTTAAAGAAAGATTTACAACATGCTTGACAAAAACATTGTATAGTAATGAACGAGAATGTATGTATAATTTTATGGTTTCTAGGTACTTATTCTCGATTTCTTTTTAAATTTGCTTTTGAATATTTTTTTGTATGTTGGTTAACACAGCATTGCTTATATCTTGTTGTCAACGCATTAACAACCCTAAACGTTAACGCATCCTCAATACCCCAGCGGTTACACTCCCTCTCGCTCTCTGCACCACTTCAATATGTCATAGCAAAATTGAAGCCACGCGGCTAGCTATTTGGTAACAATTAACTCAGGTAAAAACCTGACCAATCGCTAGGCTGATACCTTTAGAAGATTACAGAGGAGCGACACCCGTTTTTAAAGCCAGCCAACTTTTCCGTTACGCGACCGACAGATTGTTTTGATGTACATTAAAGTATCAAACCAGTCTTCTTGTCTCTCACCTGCCTGATGGTGCACACTGAACCGTTGCTATTTCTATGGCATATTCCAGAGGTGCAGAGAGCGAAAGTGAGCGTAACCCCTGGAGTATGTAGAATGCCCTTTACGAGATTCAATGAGAAATTTCATGACAACCGGACCGACGAGAACATTGGAATAGCGATACCTCTTAATGAAAGAAAGCTCCTCTTTAAACACATAAAAGAGAACATACAACGCTATGAATGATTTTCTAACGAATTAGGTTATCTACATATATTAATAGAATTGTAATTATCGCGCATATTAAATTAGACGATACATTATTTGCTAGTTACAATTATCAACATGTTTATGATAATGGACACTTTGAACATGGCATATCTCTCAACACAATCTCATACATCGTATCCATTTGTACCTAAAATGTTTATTTTTATGATTTTAGAATAAAACAGAAAGCAGAATGTATCCAAATAAAGGTAACCACGGATATGATAACAACCTGATGACAATGAGGCCGATATTCTACGCCATGGGTCCTAACTTCCGGTCAGGATTCTCGGCCTCGCCCCTCAAATCAATAGACATCTATCCTCTGATATGTGAACTGCTAGGCATATCGCCGTCCCCTAACAACGGAACGTTGGCCAATACAGACAGATTCCTGCAGTCATTCCCCAACGATCAACAAGTATGTGACGGAGCTGTCAGCAGTACAGACATAAGGTCTAGTGCAATACTTATCCCCCTCCTTCTGGTGGTCGGAGTTTTGATCAGTTAGATTATAGGCCTAATGTGTTTAATGTTAAAGTGAGGTTGATTGTTTTAACATTCAATGTAGTGAAATACGCAGTTGGAAGTTCTGTATCTAAATATATCATATAATATGTCCATTTATAATGTTGTTTTGTATGTACAATAAAGATAATCACAGATTTATTGTTTTAATTGTAATTTGTTACTATCATAATCACCAATATAAAAACGACAAGTTAGAAAAAAATACACAGCGCCATCATATAAAGAAAAAATAACTACTTTATAGTTAGTGCACTGAAAAGACGAAAACAAGAAGCGAAAAGACACAAAAAGACAGACATCATGAACATCAAATAAATAAATAAATTGATGTTTTACCAAGATCGCTAAAATGACTATGATTTGTTATCATACGTAGTGCTGCCATTTTTGTCTTATATCAAAAACAGAAAATAGCCTTTTGTCAGCGACGATTTAATAGAGGGGCATTGTCTAAAATTGTCTAACATTTTGATATTACTGTAGTATTTCACAATGTGCACGCAAGATGACAATGCCAATAACTTACAATGATGACAATAAGATATACCCAAGTAAGGTTCTATTTTTTGCATCAGAAAGACAAGAACAAAAAATGACCGAAAATAATGATTATATAATTTCATTTGTTTGTATCAACGGAGACAAAATGTGTTACCAGATTTTTAAAATGCTTACCAATGTCACAAAAAAACAAAAACAAAATCGTTTACTTATATGTTCATGATGAGACCGCCATTTTTAAAACAAAGCACGTGCACGTGATATACTTCAATTGAGCATATCAGTCAAGTTTAATAATACACGTGGCTAGAGCTATATAGTTATTGTGTTAGAGTTTGTTTTGCTGGCATCACATGTAAGTCAATTGAATATACAAGTACGTCAGCCAAGTTGATATAATAGTCCGCTTAGTGTTATGGATGCTATATCCTATTGTGGGTTCGTATCCGACGTCTGTGCTGATGGCATTTTCATTCTTCAAAAATAAAGAAAAAGAACAAAGGGTCGTCAAAACCGTAACTTCAACTGAACAATTGATGTAAAACTTTGACAGAATATGAACAAGTGAACGATTTACTTAAACCTCTGGAAGAGAACAAAGAAATGAAGATTATGTGTTCCGGAAGGGTCTTTTGCTTCATCAACGACACCAGCTATCTAAATCTTGGTCAAATTCAAGTCATAAGTGTCACTTTCTTAAGGCGACAATTTGGGAAGTGATATCAAAACAACAAATCACACTAACGAGAATAATCAAACACATCGACCTTCATATCAAACAAAGAAATCAGTTATTTGTCAACGAGGTCATGATGGCAACCAAAACAAGTATGGATGTTCCTATCAAGAAAGAGAAGGGTAATGGAAAATAGTACGGCGTTTCTGTTGGTCATGTTGTAAGTAAGGATTGTCTGATGTAGAAATGTCCTTAGTGTCCTTGATTTATTGTCGACATACACAGTATCTGCAAGTGAAATTTAAGAACTCGTTAATGGTTTTGTTACCTTGTTCTGACAAGTTCCTAATTAAATTCAGTATAATGAACACCTTACATTCTGACAACAACAGCAGTTTACGTTTGTAGCGTACTTCATATGAATTTAGTCCTGTCGTTTTGAGTAATTTATGATTGCTTATGTTCACAAGAGTTAAGAGATCGTGTTAAAAATCAATAGAAAGTTCTTACGTCTTTAAAACAAACACTTTGCCAACAAATATAGGATACAAAGGCGTCATCTACAGTATGGTAGCTTTGTTTAGCAGTAAAACGAAGAGATATGAACGATAACTTTCAGACCTATTTTTCTTGAAACGTTATATTGATTTTCTCGGACGTTTTGAAAGTATTTTCGTGCCAAATTAACGAATAACATATTTTCTTTGTACTGTTAATGACTTGATTTTCGCGTCAGGAACGAGATTCTTTAAACCTTTCGTGGATTAAATTAAACCGCTAGTTCAAGATGTAATTTGCGAAAACAAAGAAACTCGAAAATAAAGCGATTGGCAGTACATGTACATGTGTGGAAAGAGCTGTATTAAAAGTTGCACCTCAAACATAAAATGTTTATGTGACTCCACACTTTATATAATATTCCCGAGTGACGTATATGCTCTTGAGACTATTCCTAGAAATGAATCCGTAACTATCTGGTAAAACGAAAGTATACAATGACTTTGTGATAAATATATATATTTTGTTTATGACGTAATGCCTATGTTAGTTGCTCCCGTGCTGGATTAACGTTCGGGGAAACTACACCGCCCGGTGAGTACTAACATAAAATAATCACGGTTTAGTCTGATATTTGCCTGAACGATATTTTGTCAACTTTTTAATGTAATTATTGTTTTCATGGGTTTATCTGTGTTATATATTAAGCGCCTCGTTTGTGAGTTATTAATGGGGAATTTGAACCCATCGTATTACGTTGTGCGATCTTCATGCTTCTGTCCAATATGTGTAGAACATTATTTTATTAAAAAACATCTGGAACTAAATATCGTTTTCTTTAACAAGAGATCCATATTGACTCATTGATATTAATTAGCTAAGGACAATAGTTTTGCAATCAGCACTCAACAATTAGGCTTAATTGACTTTCACTTCATATGTTTGACGTAATTAGTAACATGTTACTATTGTATTTTATACAACTGAAAAATATGACATTAATATGTATATGATATCATTACTATACGTAAAAATAAATCGCGGTATAAAATGTATTTCGTAGAATGGATATATTTAGCACTGCAAACGTCATTGCATATCTAATAGTAGAACATTTACTAAAGATATAACATTGGGCTCAAGATCTGGTTACTTTAATTATAGCGTATGCGGACATAGAATGCTGTACTGTCAGTAGGTGCATATAGTTAAAATACGTGTACATGTCTATATCTCTTTTCTATGTGTAGTTAATAATAGACACCCCACAAGGTGTTTATATCTCGAGGCTAGTTGTAACCGTAACACATCATTAGAGAAAGTACACACAAATGAAAAATATTTTTCAGTAATTGTAGGTTATTGGAAGGATAATCATTTGGAGCAAGTTTTATATATCATAGGTTTGTGTCTAAAAGGGTTCTACACCATTCATAACAGACCAGTTTTACAAACCATCTAATAGCTGCATAAAAGCGAAATATATATACAATGTAGGTAGATTTATCACTTACCCTGTGTATACCGGTGAAAATACATGAACCCTTATTCATGAGACAGTTCTAATACTCAATCTCAGATACTCTCTTCAAGCCAAAGTTCTTGCTACAGTGATATGATTTAAGCGAGTTACAAAATAGTCTGTTTGAGCAAAGAATCCATGCTTGAACATGAGAAGGGTTTCATGAATACATGCCTTGATGTATGTAATGAAAAGTACTTCTTATATCAATTCGGCAGTTCTTCTCACCAGTATCATGGAGATGGTTTCTCAATAGATTATAAATATACTCTATGGGGATGGTCTCTCAGTAGAGTATACATATACTCTATGGAGATGGTCTCTCAGTAGAGTATAACTATACTCTATGGAGATGGTCTCTCAATAGATTATAAATATACTCTATGGGGATGGTCTAACAGTAGAGTATACATATACTCTATGGGGATGATCACTAAGTAGAGTATAAATATACTATATGGGGATGGTCTCTGAGTAAAAAATAACTATAATATATGGGGATGGCCTCGCAGTAGAGTATAAATACACTCTATGGGGATAGTATATCAGTAGAATCAGTGTTAAGGTATTAAGAGAGAAATACTAGGAGATCACTAGGATAATTAGAATATGTAACAGTAATTTTAGGGGATAGGTGAGGAGAAAAGTACAAGGAGGTCATTATGAGATCACTAGGAGTAAAGGAGAAATGTGCGAGGTGCAATTTAGGAGAAATGTACTAGGTGCAATTAAGGAGAAATCTACAAGGTGCAATTTAGGAGAAATCTACTAGGTGCAATTTAGGAGAAATGTACTAGGTGCAATTTAGGAGAAAAGTACTAGGTGCAATTAAGGAGAAATATACTAGGTGCAATTTAGGAGAAATGTACTAGGTGCAATTTAGGAGAAATGTACTAGGTGCAATTAAGGAGAAATATACTAGGTGCAATTTAGGAGAAATGTACTAGGTGCAATTTAGGAGAAATGTACTAGG